CTTCCTTTCTGTAGTAAGAAACAGATTGTCCTTCTGAACTTGCCTATCAAGAATTTACTAGAAGTATGTATACCTGTATCATTTTGATGTTTTTGTTAATGTTTCCAAACAGTGCACTTTGAAATCAGAATGATTTCTTTATATTCATTTTTGTATAATTCTCCTTATTCTCTTCATCATGCATTAGTGATCAGAAATGAGATGCAGTTTTCATCCCCTTCCCATAAGAGCTAGGTAAGTATTGTAATGTTAGTTTAAGGGAATTTTATTGTGCAAGAATGAACTGCTGTTGAGTTTGATTGATTTAAAGTGGAGTTTGATATGGTGTATTTCAAAGCTATTAAATGCAACTTACAATGCTTAAAAAATATTTTTATTATTGAAAAAGTTTACCTTTTCAAAGGAGTATTTAACTCTGAAAACAAATAAACAAAAGTATGTATGGATAAAAATTGTTGTTATCTCTGGAGAGGAGAATTGTGGGGGAGAGGGTACCTTGCTGCATGTGTACTGCTGCAGTTTGGGGAATTTTTACCGCATCATGTTTTATTTCGGTAAGCAAAAAAACCCCAATAGATTAAAAGTATTGTATATTCACCAAGTATTTTAAGTGCCTACTATGTAGTGATTATTAGAGAAATTTGGACAGCTATATAAATAGAAAACTTTAGGTTCAATTCCTTGTTGGAGCATGTACGAGAGGCAACCGATTAATATTTCTCTCTCACATCAATCTCTCTCTCTCTCTCTCTAGCAATGAAAAAATATCCTTGTGTGAGGATTTAAAAAGTCATCAATATGTACACTTAAGATGCTTCACTATATACATGTTGAAAAGTGTTTTAATTAGAAAAATATATTTGGAATTTTTGAGCCAATAATTCCACGATAATATTGTATCCAATCATAATAAAGATGCAAAGATCTAGGTCACTGTGCTATTTATAATGTTGAAAAATTTAAAAACCTTAAAAATATTCAATAATAGGGAATGGTAAAGAAATGATGTTCCATCCATTTAAAAATCATGTCATCAAAAATTTCTTATAGGTATTGGAAAACACTTATGATATAGTGTTTGGTAACTGAAGCAGGTTGCAGGATAGGAAGAAAACAAGAAAGCAAAGACAAGTACCAGTTTTTTTCCCTGATGCTGTAGTGATTTTCCTGGTACCAAAAGAAAGTGACCAGCTGACAATGAGAACCAGTCAAGCTTTGTGGCTGAAATCACACCACCAACCATGGTTCTCTTCAGTGATGATTCACCTGTGTGTGGTGTGGGCAGTGGGTACCAGGAATTAACCTAAGGTAGTCAAGTAGGCACAATGCCAACCTAAATTAGGGTGTTTAAACTCTTTGAGGTTCTCCATTATTCTGAAGCTACCCTTATATCCTTGGTCAGCTCAAATCTAGGAGCTGAGAGGTGGGTGGTGATAATTAGGGTGGAGAGACAATGGCTGGCATGTGTGTGTATACTTGTGTGACCACCATTTCAAATATGTGTGTCTACATGCATCCATGTAGACATGATCTGTCAGACCCACAGTCCAAAATTGGAAATCAGGAAAGTACTATGGTAACTTAACTAGTCAAATTGATCATCAATATAAGGATGTGAGTGCTATGGCTATTCCCAGGGTGAATGTGTTAGCAACAGAGCACCATCTGGCATTTTTCTAGTGATCTGAAGGCTTCTGGGGAGCACACTCATCATTGCTTTGAAGATGAAGAGAAGCTGCAACCTAAAGCAACACTGTAAGCTTGATTAAGCTTGCAATGAAAGGATTTATTTTAAGCCATTTTAATAATTTCTTTTTTATCAGAAACTAACCAAGTAGTTTTATAGTAGCCTTCACTGGCATGAAAAACCTGTTCTTTCATCTAGGTGGCTTGCCTATTGGCCAATTTTGCTATGAGTTTATTAACGTATCAAATCCACATGTGTTTCGAATAAAATCAGAATGGGGCTCATGAACAACTGCCTCTGCTTTTTAATTCTCCAACTCACTCGTCTTGCTCTGACTGGTGTGGCTCAGTGGATTGAGTGGCAGCCTGCGAACCAAAGGGTCTCTGGTTGATTCCCAGTCAGGGCACATGTCTAGGTTGCAGGCCAGGTCCCCAGTAGGGGGAATGGGAGAGGCAACCACACATTGATGTTTCTCTCCCTCTCTTTCTCCCTCCCTTCCCCTCTCTCTAAAAATAAATAAACAAAATCTTTTTAAAAAATTAACTTACTTTTGGAGGAAAAGGGGTCTTTGTGACAGGCTTGGTTGAAATGTGAGTTTATTTCCCGAGTTCCCATTCTAGTCCCTCCCCTTATTTCAGTTCCTCTGTCTAAACAAGCACACCATCTCTGGGGAGAAGACTGATACTACTCTGAGCTGCCACAGCTGCTACTATTATCACCACTACTGGTCTCAGAGTCATTTTTAACTTGACTGAGAGCCTTCTGAGTTCTAAGTACCATAAGGTACCTCAAGAGACAGTCCAAAGGAAATATGCAATGTGCAGTTCTTTTAAATAGCCAGCTCCTCTAGCAATTTCTAAAATAACATTTAATCTTCACTCGGGATTCAGGAATAGAGATGTTGCATAAAGCAAGACGCACCCCTATTAAAGGCACCTCACTAGCGTATGGCTTTGATTATAAAGGTCAAATTACATGTGCCCTCTGTGTCAATTGATGAGTAATATGTTTCTTTCTACAATGAAAAGGCCTCATTCTCCCCCTTGAAACCAGCATGGTAACAAGTTTCTATCTGGCTTCTTTAAGGGATCTCTAGCTATTTAGTTGCTATAGGGAAGCCAAAATCTCTAAAGAAGGTGTAAAGCAGTCTTTCCCAGCCTATATAAAACCTTCTTTCCTTTGAGGCTACTTTCACAGAAACAAATTCAGTTAATTATGAAGTAGTCCTGAGAATTTAGTGCTGCTTGCTGGAGTTTTTTACATGAAATATATGAGATATTTAGAGTCGGGGGAAGAAGTAAGTAAACAGACCTGAAAGCAAATATGGCAAGAGTGTAAATATGAGATTTCTCTATGCCTTTGTGGAGCTCCTGGAGACTGACACAGAAGCCAAGCATGATTAAGACACACACTTCTACAACAGCGGGCATATCGTCTTTATCTATGACATATATCGCAGATTTCTAAACACCGTCTATAGTGTAGGGCTGCTAATAATACCTGACACAGCATTCAGCCTGGTCCCTCGGGTGTGCCCAAGTTCTTTACAAAGGACTTCCTTTTTAACCTTCAGGAAGCATCTTTTGTTCCTTTGGAAGATGGGAAAAGGAAAGGGCACTTGGTTCCATTTCCTGCAAAAGGAAACAAAGCCTCACAGTAGATGAACAAACCAGAGGTGGGAAAAACCAAGTACTCTTCTTCATCAACTCTCAGAAAAGTTTTATACTTGGTTCTAAGGTGGATTTTTTTTTGTGGGGTGGGAGTAGGGGTGATGGTCACGGACAAAGGGGAAGGTGATTGGAAGGAGACCTGGTAAGCGGAAACTGGGAGCTATGACTAGGACAGAATGAATGCCTTCAAACAGATCAATTCCCTGGGATGAACAGGGATGAGTTTCCAGAAGGAGCTGGTGCCCACTGTTATCCCCTTGCTCATCTTGGACCTCCACTGGCCACCAGGCTGATGTCTTGGGGTATTCCAACAAGGCCTCATCCTGTTCTGTGGCTGTTTTGAGAACACCAGAACTACCTTTCTGGGCCAAAAACATAGTGCTTCCAGCCCAATATCTTAATGGGGTCCAGAAGGACGGGTTGGGGAAGGACTTGGCTGTCCTCCAAGATCCAGGACATTCCTACCTCATACCAGTTTCTCTTAGAAATCCACAGTGGATCTCTCAGCCATGACTTTTTCACTCTTTCCAAAGCCACTTCATTTTCATCTTCTTGCATCTCTTGGGACTAATGAATTCCTTAGGTTTTCAATATGGTATATAGACTAATACTTCTTTTCAGCTGCCCTAGTAGGAAGAGCACTAACCTGGGAGTACAACAGATCTAGGTTCAAATCCCACCTCTGCTTCTTACTAACTGAGTGACTACAGGAAATTTTCATCCCTTCTCTGAGACTCAGGTTCTTCATCTGTAAAATGGGATTCTTGATACCTCCTCTTTCTGCCTTGCATGGCCGCTAAGATGAGAAAATGAGATCTTTGACACAAAAGCTCCTTCAATAAAAGCACAAACTGGGGCGCTGATGCAGAGTCTGATTTGTTTTAGCTGAATCTCCTTCTAGCTCTTAGGGTGCCGTTGGTTTTAGAATTCTCAGATCTGGTGAATAAGGCTGTGTTCCCTCTCTCCACCCCTGCATAATTTTATACTCTGGTCACATCCCTTCCCAGCCTTCATCTTTCTAGACTAAAGAGTCTGCGTTTGTTTAATCTATCTTCATATGGCAGTCCCCTCCACCTTCCCCCATCCCCTTGATTATAGAGTGGCCCTTCTTCTCTGGATCATCTCCAGCTCCATTATGTCATTCTGGAAGAACTAAGACCAAACCTGTACAAGTGTGTGTGTGTGTGTGTGTGTGTGTGTGTGTGTGTGTGTGCGTGCGCGCGCGCGCGCGCTCATGTGTATTTCTCAGCTCTGAACCTCTGACTCTGCCCACTCTCCAATTAGAAATCCTAGAACAGGATGCTTGCCTAAGACCCTCTCACCAAACTACATAGAAGGCCGGTTGGCCTCAGTCTGTAGCCTCCCCCTCTTTCTCTGCGCATCCCTGGCCCCAAGGGGCTAAAACGGCTCCCTGTCTAGATTGGGAGGCCAGGAGGTGGATAACTAGGATGGTGGGGTGGGGGGGCGAAGGGAAGGGAGGGGGTCTTGCGCAAGCGCACGCCGCTGCTCGGACCGCCAATGCTGCTGCCTCCCGGAGCAAAGGGAGGCACAAGAGGAGGGAGGGAGAATAGGGGAAGGGAGGAGGAGGAGGCACTTGGGCTGCAGCTCGCAAACAGAGGCAGTCTCGCTCAGCTCTGGGAGAGACGGGGAGCGGCTGCCGCGGAGTAAGATGCTCTGCAGGGCGCCCTGAGCCTGGGGGCGCTTGTAGCAGCTTCGTTGGCCGGGGCAACGAGGCAGTATTCACCATGCATCAGTCCCTGACTCAGCAGCGGTCCAGCGACATGTCCCTGCCCGATTCTATGGGTAAGTCTCGTCGTCCTTTCTAGGGGCGGCGGCAGCAAGGGGTGAGTGCGCTGCCCTCTGGACTGCGAGCGCCTTGACCACCTGGAGAGCCTGGGAGCGGGAATTGGGGCAAAGGTGGGGGTCCACGAGCCCCAGACTCTCGGTCTTGGATCGGAGCCCCAGGGGAGCGGCCCAGCGGGGGCGGGGGCGACGCGCTGAGGTTAGAGCGCCCAGCTTGCGTCGGAATCTCCCTGGCCAGAGTGCGGGTGTGAGCGTGTTTGTGTGCGTGTGTCGACAGACTTGTAGCCAGTGGTAAATCCCAGATGTCTGGGTATCAAAACACTTCCCTGCAACCTGCGCCTTCGCTTGCCATTCGACGCTCCCTCTTTGCAAAGTCCGCGTCACTTCTCAGAGCTCAAGACTAACGATAATTAGAAGCAGAAACCTCGCCCCCTCCCAACTCTGTGGAAGCTACCCTGAAATACAGAGCTGAAGTGAGGGGGAGCTAACTTGCACCTCGCTGACTTGGGGGTTTGCGCAACCCTGGGGGATGGGCGGGTGGGAGAAGAAAGAGAGGGACTGGCAGGAGGGGAATTCCTGAAGAATCACTCAAAACAGACCAGTCCTGCCATCCGAAGTGGCAGGATAGACACTCCTTGAACTTGATTCCTATTCTGCTCCAAATACAGGAAATGTAATGTGCGCGAGTGTGAAAAGGTGGGGGGGGGGGCAGGACAAGTGAGAGCACGAGAAAGAAAGAGCAAGCGCGAGCCCGCGCATCTTCTGAAGTGGAGCTTTCCCTCTCTAGGTGGAATAGAGGGGGAGGGGGGACCCACTAGCCTGATTTGGTTCAACACCCTTCCTCATCACAACTGGGGGACAGCTACCTCCAGGCACCAACTTGGCTGCTCCTCGAACCTGCTTTTGGTAGTTACAAACAAAATACAAACCCAGTCCTCCTCAACTGTTAGGCACCTTCCCAACTCCTATGATTTCACTGGGCGGTGAAATTAATTTGGAGCCCAGGAGAGCGGGAGGGAATTGTCAAACCATGATCCCATCAAATATTAAAATTTGCCTCGGATACACTTTAACTAAATCGAATTCTCTCTTTCCAAAATACTTTGTATTCTGCAAAATCCCTCCGTCCTCAATTCCTGCCATCCAGTCTGCTCCAGTCTTCTCTGAAGAATTTGCGCGAACATCTCGAGGGGAGGGGTGGGGAGAGAGTTGCACCCCTTCTGTGAGCTCCCTTTTGCTGGCAAAAGACTCAGTCTCAACAGAATTTGTTCACTGTAGGGGCCCCAGATAGTACAGTCTCTTAGATGATGGAAAGATCCGTATTTTTATTGGTTTTGCATATTCCGTGTAAAAATTTGCTCTTTATGTTTTCTTAAACGTGTAGTTATTTGCAACGTGGTACAAACGAGGCCAAGGACTCGGGTCCGAATCACAACCCAGCAGTACCAGACTCCTCCCAGGTCTCTATCCTTAACACGCACACGCACACGCACATTCACGCACATACAGTGCACTCCTCACCTTGGCCAGCTGTGGCGCTAACGCAGCCATGGCTCCCGGGCTCCAGGCAGCTGCGCGGGAGGGCTGGGGGGAAGAGCGCGAGGGCTCTGCAGCACCATACCTGCAGCCACTGCAACCACATGCAAAGCGGGACCCCATCGCCTGCGGGGGAAGTGGACAGGTTAGTAGTCCAGGGAGTAAAACGCTGCTACTTGCCACACTGCTCTGTGGGCTGGCGTAAAAGATGAAGAGATTATTTCTTGGGCTCCCAGGGGCCCTCAGCCAATCTTGCATTTCCTGAAAGGTCTGCGCAACAAGAAACGGAGTGGGCTTCGTCCAGACATTGCGGGGAAAGAATCATGGGTCTCTTAAGGACTCGGGAGTCCGCTCTATGCATCCCTCTTTGGAAAGTCTGCAGACCCAGAGCGCGAGGAAATTCCTGAGTGGAGTGGTAACCCTGGGTTTCCACATTTTGGACAGGGGAGTCTCCCTGGAGTTCCCTGGCGCTGGTCCCGTGCAACCCAGGCCTGAATCAGACTCTAGACTACTTACGAGCTACTCCCACTTAACTCAGCTCTGGCAACGCCATCTGCCTTTGCATGGGGGAGTAGAAGGGGGCGTGGGTGGGTTAGTGTTTCAGCCTCCAAAGGCAGCATTTCTGAGGGGATTTCCCCTACAGGCAAGACACAGCCGTAGCTAAAACAATAAAATTGAAAACACACAGATACACTGAACCACAAGGTGTCTGCGCTCTATGCTTACTGGCTGTCTGGGGATGAGCCGATAGTCCAAAGCTTGGATCAGAGCGGGCGCTTGGCGATAGAAAGATGTTAATTTGACTCCAGCGTCCCTTCATCCCCTGCCAGTACCCTCTTCTCCCTTTTAACAACACCGCCCCCAGGCGCTAAGATACCTCTACTACATCAGGGCACTCCTTCTCTTCCAAATAATACATTTGTAATTTACCGGTGGTCAAAGATTTGCCAAAGTGGGGGAATTTCAGTGCCTTTAAGGAAATATTTGGGAGTTTGACAGAGCCGTGAGGTTCTTCTGTGGGTAGCCATCTGTTTCCATGGATGCTCAAGGCTAGGACTTCCTGGAATCCTCTCTGTGTGGCAAAGCCGACTAAGGTAAGCAAATCCTAATCAGTTCAAAAGGTCAGCCTTGAGAATTAGTTGGTCATCAACAACATAGCGCACAAGACAGGATGCTGGGATCCCATCTTCGAGGCACTTGGATTATACACCCTATAATCAAGAGGGTTATCAAGAACATGCACGAGGTAAAAACACAAGTGAGCACAGACGACCATCTTACCTGCTGGCAGCCCATGTCTTGGTTCCCATCAGATATATAATCCTGAAACTGGTGGACATCAGATGGGTTGTGGACCAGATCTACAATTACAATTATAATTGCAGCAGTTATAATTAGTAATATACTTATTGAGTAAGGTACCTAGGAACATAGAGACATGAAATAATGAGTGATTCAAGAAAAACTTGGAGGAGGAAGTGAGTTTTGAGCAGGTTTCAGAGAAAGGAAAGAACCAAAAATCAGAGACTGCCGTGCAGGGGTGTGGAGTGGGGAACGGGGCTATGACGGGGTTTGGAGAAACTCAGAGGAAGGAGAAGCTGGTTGTATTTGGAAAGATGGAGAGAGCAAATAATTGGGCACTTCTAGAGCTGACCATCCCAGTCCTCACAAATCTGGGGTGAAGGTGGGGCACTGCAGAGAGAGAAGGCTGCAGTATTTCTGCAGGGAGGCTGCTGGGGGCAGGCAATGCCAATGACAGGATTTCAAACACTGCTGTTGGTTACAGGGGTAGTTGTTGTTGAAACAAATATGCTGGGCACCTAGTATACAGGCTAGTGAGAGACACTTGGGGTTCTGACACTAGTTGGTGAGAAAGCTTTTAGTTCTGGGGAGCCCTCAGCTGCACTCCATTAAAAAAAATCAATTCCATGAACGTAGCCCATATTTAGTCACACAATCCCCTCCCCATGGACTTTTTTTTATTATAAAAGCAGCAATTTTGAGATGCTGCCTCTTGTTTATTCAACAGGTATTGACTACTCACTAGGTATCAAACATCGTAATAGGCACCGTTTTCAAATACCTACTGCTGTATTTAAGTACCTCATGGTGTCTAAGGCTTTTTAATATGTTCATTTACTAAACAAAATTGGAATCAGATATTCTTGTGTGTACAGGAATATCTAAGGCAGATCCCAAATTGTACCCTAATAAGAATAGGGCTCTACATCTTTCCAAAATAAAGCTACCAGGAAAACATCCTAAGCAGACGCAATGAGCTGCCTTTTAGGAGCCTGGGCCACACCTTCAGAGAACAGGTGTGTCTTGCTTCCTAAGTAGACGTGACTTTTAAGTCAAATTGACATTAAAGATAAATGGAGGGGTGATTGTTCACTCTTCGAAAGGATTCCCCCGCAGCATTCCTTAAAATGGTCTGCTACCGAAATGCAACTAGAAATAATTTATTTTTACACAAATATGGTGCTTATAGTGTAAAATAAGGGGTGACATGAGGGAGGAGGAGGGGACAGAGAATAGATATTCAACATAGTGATGGGAGAGTTTTCTTAGGAATTTTACCCAAAGCAAATCTATCTAAAGGCAAAGCCCCAGTGAAGTTCTGCCTGGGTCTCTCAGCTGACTGGATTTTCAATTCAGGTTCTAAAACAGGGGGAAAAAAATAGATTTTCAAATGACACGATGTGGTTTGCTGAGTCACTTTTATGACCTGGCTCCTGTGCTTTTAAGATTTGGAATGATATTTGCAAGAGACCCAAGTGCTGTGAATAGGATCAAAAGCCAGTTGGTGGGAAAGGAGAAAAAAAATCAGAAGGACTGTGCACACATACACTCCCCCAATTAAGTCTCTAAGGTTGCATGTGAGGTGTTGAGACACTTTCATGTGTCACAAAGACACCCTTGGTGTATTCAGATGTTCCCCCACTCTCTTTCACCAATTTGGGGCAGAGATGGTATGAGTGGCAAAGGAGAAAGGCAGACAGGAATGGGAAGTGATGTTGGTAAGTTTAGGTTAAAACCCCTCTATGGAACCAACTCTCAGATCCACTGAGAAGTATCTATCATCAAATTGACTTGGGGACTGTGGTTTAGAGACTCACTTAGGGCCCTGCGAAATCAAGAGGAAAGATAAATAGCCTTCAAGGTAAACAGATGAAATAAATCCTGCTTTCCCCATCTCCACCACTTGCAGTCAGCTTCTCCCAGGATCTCTCATCCTGTTTACCACCCGTCAGCTTGCCATTTGCATCCCAAATAGCTCTGTCACACAAAGGGTCCTGATGTCACAGGTGTCTCTAGTGGTCCTTCCGTTTTCCCATATAGGTCCCCCTGGAGGAGAGCCTCATTTCCCAACTCTCCTTACCTCTCCTCCCCAGGTGCGGTAGGGCGCTTTAGCATGTGAGTGCCTGTAAACGCTCAAGTCACTTCTATGTTTCAATGGAAAATAATCCTAGCCTAATATCGTAGTCTAAATTACCCTGATGAGTCACGTCCTTCACTTTCTTGGCTGACGTCAGGGGAGACCGCCAGCCCCTCCCACCTCCCTTGAGCCTTGCAGGGACTGCACTGGGGAAGGCGAGATAGATGATGGAGGCTAACCAGACTGGCACTGTTGACGATTTTCTTCCCTATAGGAGGGGATGTCTGCTGGGGGCTTTGGAGTCAGCAAGCACCCCTCCTTCTCACTACCACCAGGCGTCCAGGGTCCTGCTTGTTTTTTCCCTCCCTCCCTCCTTCTCTCCCCCTTTCTTTATCCCCTCCCTCCAGTGGTGCGGTCTGGGCGGCTTCAATCGGCAGCTGCTTTCTGAGACTGCAGTGAGGCCTCCATGAATGACCGGGTCCAATGAACAGACCCAAGTGGCCTCTTTAGGCCCATAAATGACAGTCAAGCCACTAAGTGGGCAACCCCAGCAGAAGGCTTCTCACTGCTTCATCCTCCTCAGTAAAGAACTAAACTCTCATAGAGTAACTCATCCCTGGAATTTCCTGTTAAGAAGCCCCTTTCCCAGTCCAGAGAAATGCATCCAGAGTAGGGAGCAGTTTTTGATTCCTTTTTAAAAAATTAAATTGAAAAGCGAGTCTAGATATCACTTTTCTATCTGACTTAATAAGCCTGTTTTCAAAAAAAAAAATACTGGTTGCACTATCATGTCTGATAAGCACTGAGTAGAACAGGTTTCTCATCATTTATATTTATGTCACCCTCACATAAGCTTGTATGTCTGTAAGTGATAATCCTCCCCATCTACCTCCCTTGATACATATCGTTGTGGACTAATGGCCTCCAAACGCTTACTTTATTACACACATTTGTTATATGACAAATCTTGTCAACACACCATTTTAAAGTTTGTACATGAGGTGGCAAATGTCAGAAATAAATGAAAAAAAAAAAAACACAGTTCCTAGCTTGGTTCTGATATTTACACTGAAAATGAAATTTCATATCTCCAGCTTATGAAAAAAACCTTTCTTAGTTACACATTGGCTTTAAAATATTTTCATTTAATACTTCCACACGAACACTTCCCATTTATCATATGTCTTATAATTTAGCCTAAAAAAACACTCTACTAAGTGGATATGACACATCTTTTATAGAATGTTGAAAGCACAAAAATTTGTTGTTTTGTTTTTATGTAACTGGTAAGGTTTCTTCTGTTGTTTATTTTCAAACTGGAAATATATATTTTTATTGTGAATGTGGCTCCTGATGATTGCCAAACAAACCTAAAGCTCCATTTATTTCCCGAAATTCCACTCCCCAGAGATAACCCAAGTTACCAGTTGGAATAGGAAAAGAAAACCTTCCTAGTGGTTTTTTCTTTGAGTCTATCCCTTCCCCAGCTGAAATGAGCAATTCCAGTTTCTCTGTGTACTTTCAGGAGCCTTCAATCGGAGGAAACGAAACTCCATCTATGTCACCGTGACTTTGCTTATTGTGTCCGTGTTAATTCTCACAGTGGGCCTTGCTGCCACCACCAGGACCCAGAATGTGACTGTTGGGGGCTATTACCCTGGAGTTATTGTAAGTATAAAAGGCATAGGTAGGTCTGAGTAGGTTGCTGGCTATAAACATTCGGGTTGTACTCTGATGGTTTTCTATTTGGTTTGAGTTTCTACTGTTTGCTTAGTTGTCCTTTATATATCTCTATGCTTATATACAAATACAATTCTGGATCCATTAGGATGAGCACTGGACTAAGAATCTCCATTCTTAACTCGCAGTGTGATCCTGAGCAAGACATCTCCCTCTTTAGGGCCCAGGTTTGGAGATGTTACTAAATAGCAGTATTAGCCTTAGGCTAAGGTCTTTTCCTCTCTGGGCATCTGCTTTCCAATATATAATAGAAGTCTCCTGATGTTACCTGAAACCTGAGGACCCTGGCAGCTTGATACTCTGCGACCAACAGCACTGATCTCCAGAGTGATCCTTCACTCCTATCGGGAAAAATACATGGAATATTTACTCCTCAAATAGGTATATTTATTAATTTATACATTATATACTTGTTTATAAAACATACAAAGTGGAAGTTTACAAATTAGATAAAAGTGAAATCAACAATTACTTTAATATCTTCATATTAACACTATCTAAATTTCAAAGAATGATATGCATATTACATGAAGTCTGCCATTAAAGATAGTGACTATAAATCCTTATTCCAAATAGCCCACTAAATAATTTTGAATATTTTTGGTTGACTTCTTATCAGATATGATTATATTGTCACTAGTATCTTTGTTTTTTATGTTGCTCTCACCATGTGGCTGACAAAAAGCTCACCCTGAGTTAGAAATGTCAACTCTTGCCCTGACTGGTGTGGCTCAGTAGATTCAGTGCTGACCTGTGAACCAAAGGGTCGCTGGTTTGATTCTCAGTGTAGGGCACATCCCTGGGTTACAGGCCAGGTCCCCAGCAGAGGGTAGGCAAAATGCAACCACACATTGATGTTTCTCTCCCTCACTTACCCTCTCTAAAAATAAATAGAATCTTTAAAAAAATAAATGTCAACTTTACCATTTTCTTGTTTTTACATTATTAGAATCATCTTCAATTTGTGGTTTCTCAGCAGGGGTCTTTCCAAACGACTTGTCCATTTTCTTGGGTCTAATTTAATTAAAATTAGATAACACAATCCAAGCACATGGAAAATGCCCCATCATCAACACTTTGCTGCTTGGAACTTGCCCTCCTCTCACAGGATAGCTCACATTGTGGTCTGACATTCACACCGAGGGAGGGTGCCAGTGACAGTATGTTTATTGAATATTTGTAATGCTTTATTCATTTCTTATTATTTTAGATAAACAATAAATAGGAAACAAGAGTTCAAATAGTTTCTTTCTTTACTTTAGTGGATTGTTTTACTCACCCCCAGGGTGAGTTTCCACTTTGGAAACTGTTTCATTCTTTCCATACAAAATCTCATTTTATGTAAAATTGTCACATTGGATGCTTCAAATATATAGTTTATTTATCAATTATACCTCAATAAAGCTGGGGGAAAAGAAACGAAAACCTCATTTGGATCTACACACACAGCTGTTAAACCTCAAAACCTAACTCTAGAGGTTGAATCATGTTTTTAATATCAAATGACTTCCAAACTGTAGTCGCTAATGAACAGGAAGGAATTTTAGGATGATTCATTTTAAAAAATATTTTAGGCCGTGGCTGGTGTGGCTCAGTGGATTGAGCACTGGCCTCTGAACCAGAGTCGCCGGTTCAATTCCCAGTTAGAGCACATACCTGGGTTGCAGGCCATGTCCCCAGTAGGGGTCATGTGAGAGGTAACCACACATTGATGTTTCTAAATAATAAAAACCTTTTAAAAATATACTTTAGGATAGCAAAGAGGTCAGGTGTATTTTTGTTTTTGTTTTGTTTCTTTTCTTTTTTTTTCTTTTGAGATGTAGGGATGAGAGAAAGAGAAGCAACAAGAGGGAAAGGAATTAAACATGGATGCTTTTGACAAACCAGCAGTGACCAAAGCTGATGCCTGTTCCTTGGTCACCAATTTCAAAGTCAGCCTCCTCAAAAACCCTAGCAAAGCTGGGGTCTGATAACAGCTGGACTCCCATGAGCTGAAGGCTGCCCAGAGATGATCCTTTGCAGCTCTTGGGCCTGCAGGGCTCCCCCTAGCCAAGGTCAGGTGTCCCACAGACACAGTTTGGTGTCTTCTGTTAAACATGTGATGTGAAAACTCACCCAGTCCACTTCCTGTGGTGAGGCAAGAAAACCAGTCGTCAGCAGAATTGGATTTTATTTTTAAACACAAGCAAGGGGGTGGGGAGCAGAAGGGGGGTAAGGTTGAATTTTGGCGGCTGAGAAAAGCAATATATAGGGTCTGTGTGACTTTGTGTCCTTCAGGTAAGCTGCATTTAGTGAAATATTTCTGACTCATGACCTAATAATGCTCAAACCAAGATTCAGACTCTCCATGGATAAGGGGAAGTTACTTTCCATGTTATTTAAGAGCATGAACTCTTATTTACAAAGGGTGGCTATGAACCTCCTTTGTAGAATATCTGACTGTGGGTGGCTAGGTGGGACTACATTAACAAAGGAAGGAGGCACATAATTGTTATCTGAGTATCTGATGTTCAGCCACAGCTGCAAATTGAAGCAGTGGTGGCAGGGGGTGTCTGTGTGTACACTTTTCACTAAAAGCTAATCTGGAAATGTTAATAGGAGAACCATCCTTATAGACAGTGTGCCCCACAGTTTAACTTTTAAAAACTTGTTCTTACAGTTCCTGTTATTTTAAGTGGGATTTAATTAAAGGAAGTGAAGAGGGAAGATTACACATTGAAAAGCAGAAGAACCCATTTGAGTTTACAGGTCAGATTATGTTGTAACAGATACAATTACAACTCATACCTCTGAAACAGTAAACGCCTGAGAATCAAGATTTGTACAGGAATGGGACACTCTTACTAATTGAGTAGTTCGGTTATTAGAGAGGCACTATATAAACTCCAAGCCAGCAATTTCCTAGCTTGATATGCATAAGAATGGCCTGGTGAACATGTGGAAAATACAGAGCTCTGCTCCTTACCCCCAGAGATTCTGATTTAGTAGATCTGGGTGGGACCCAAAGACCTGAGTTTTCTTTTCCTGAACTAATCTTTGATTGAAAAAGTAAGACATGCTGAATCTGCATTTTAATGAATACCCATGGGGAGTCTAATTCAGGTGGACCAGCAACCACATGGAGAACTAAAACACAATAAATAAAGTATACTTAGCAGTAAAACCAGAATGAGGATAATGTGGTATTTTAAGATTCCACACTGTCAAATTGGTCACTTTAAATATAAAATACTATTGTATAGAGCTGTGAAATAATTTCAGATTATTTGGAACCCTGTTGTTTTGGACTGTGGTTAAATGTGTTAATGATATATGAGATGTTAAATTTCAAAATAGACAAATTAGAGAGCAGTTATTAGAGTAAAAGAAGGCTTACCATACAATTCATGTAAATATTGAGATCTCAGGCATTTAAAAAATAATTACATTTGCATAACCCTAAGTCACATAAAACTTTTCTGGAGAAGATTTCTTTTGCCAAAAGAAGTGCTCTTGTACAGTGAGATGCATTATAATGGAGTGTTAGCTACTCTACCTGAGCTAGAAAGTAATATCATCACCCTAAGACACACATGTACATATTCATCTTTAAAAACATGCTCATCTATACAGGCAGAATTGTACAATTAAAAAAAAATTAAAACCCACAAAGAACCCTGGCTGGTGTGGCTCAATGAATTGAGCGCTGGCCTGTGAACTGAAAGGTTGCCAGTTTGATTCCCTGTCAGGGCACATGCTTGGGTCGTGGGCCATTCCCCCATTTGGGGGCGTGCAAGAGGCAACCGAGTGATGTTTCTTTCCCTCTCTCCTTCCTTTCCCTCTCTCTGAAAATAAATAAATAAAATCTTTTAAAAATTAAAAATAATTAAAACCCACAAAGAAAGAAACCAACTTAGGGTTTTTACTGTCCTCGAATATTCAAGACATAGTCATTCCAAAAGAATTCTGGTGAGCTTTCTACTCTGGGGGTCTAAAAAAACAAGAATCTTGGTTGCATGAAGCTGAAATAGGCAGGGGAAAGAACCTGCTCTTTCACTATAATTCTCTAACTTTAGATCCAGAAGGAGGAAGCCTCTAAATGTGTTTCCCAAGCAACCCACAAGATGGAGTTGGCCACCTGATCGGTATGGAAAGCCTTTCATTCTCAAACCCTCTCCCCAGCTGTTGTACTGAGAGGGCCCACATCAGCTTGGGTTTTCTTTCAAGAAAGAAACCAGTAGTTTCGGTCCTATTTCCCAGGGTATGTGGGGTCCATTAATGGAAAATTATATCCAAGTTACCACAGTTATTTTATATCTGGTTATTATTACATCAATTATAGCAGAGTTATCTGAAAATTGTATCAGGAAACAGGGACAACAGGGATCATTCAAAACAATCAATAGCCCAGAAACCTTTAGTCTAGTGTGACTTCAGCTTCACAGATAAAGATTCTTGATAAATCCAACCAAGTTTTGACTAACTTGAATGCTCAGGAAATATGAGGAACTCTGAATATTGGGATTTGGTGGTTTATTATGAATTTGGCAGAAATTTTGTCCACTTGTTGAAAATGTTTCTAAAATATTAAATCATTCTAAAACAAAGTTCCTACTTTAGTAAGTACATCTCAAAGATGAGACTTGTGTCTTGATTTGCTAGGTAAAATTAGAATGTCAGAAGATTCTAACTTTCATTGGCCCACTGTTGCTTCTTTAGCGTTGTCATTTAAAACACTCCGAAGATGCCCTCAGCCTGGTCTCCCATTACCTCCTTTCTGCCAAAATTGTCAATTCACAGTCCCCTGAGAACGACTTGGGCTTTCTACCTTGATGCTGACTACTTTCATTGTTCCCCCTGGCCTGGACCATCCACCCTGCTTTCTCTTTCTATCTAAATGCTCTGTACTATCCCAATTTAAAGACACATCAAGGACATTTCTCAACTTCTAGTGTCCACAGTGGTGTCTACTGTCTTTGAACCTCCTATTCATGATTCCTAGAATATTCTCACATCCTGCTTAATGGGATGTTGGGCTATATTCTCATTTAGCTTTGTTTTTACAGGTTCACAATCTTTTATCTGAACCCTTGGTTTGGGCCAGATGTGTTCAAAAATTTAGACCTTATTTATTTTATAAAATAATATAATGCATATTTCATATGGTATCTAACATCCCAGTGGGTCTTCAGAAATACCCCATAATTGAGTACCTTTATATTTCTACAATAAACTGAATTTTTGCACTAAGTGGATAAAGATGATATTTTTAAAAACCTCACATCAGTTTAAGGTCTGGTTTTGCCACCAAGTTAGTTGGTTTTAAGAGCTGTATGGATTTCAGGATTATAGAAAGGGATTGTGGACCTGTTTACCTAATTATAGCTCCTGAAGCTGAGTCTTATTGGTCTTGGTATCATACATACCTCACCTTACCTCCTGGCCTCCAATCACAGATTCAACACAGTGCCTGCCACAAAGTATGTGTCCAATTGATATGTATTGAATGACTACACCTTCTGAGCCTCAGCACTGGGTGTCTGCAGCAGTGAATGGAAGGAGGCATAGGTTACAGGGCCCAACCCAAAAAAGAGCCCTTGACTCTGACTTTGATTTCTAATGATTTGTGTTTTTTCTTCTACAAGTGGAGGGCAGCCAAAATAAAGCTGTTGTTATTTGTTCAGGTAATAGGGAATCAAGATGGAGGTACAAAGGTCTGAGTGTTCCATGAATCCATGCAGTTCTCGAGACTGACCACAGAGATTACCTTTCTGAGGCCTTAGGTGCGCAACCAGTTGATTAGAAGCAGCTACCCATTTTCAGGAAATTCTGTTGATTTTTTTTTCTTCTTTAAAAAAATTTTTTATTGTTGTTCAATTATAGCTGTCCCCATTTCCCCTTCATTACTCTCCCCTGCCCTACCAACTCCTGCCTCCCAAATTCAATCCTCCCCTGCTGTTGTCTTTGTCCACAGGTCCTTTATACATGTTCCTTGACAACCCTTCCCCTACTTTCCCCCATTATCCTCCTTCCCCCACCTCTGGTCACTGTCCATTTGTTCTTTATTTCCATGTCTCTGGTTCTATTTTGCTCACTTGTTTTGTTGATTAGGTTCCTCTTATAGGTGAGATCCTATGGTATTTTTCTCTCACTGCCTGGCTTCTTCCACTTAGCATAATGCTCTCCAGTTCCATCCATGCTGTTGCGAAGGGTAGGAGTTCCTTCTTTATTTCTGCTGCGTAGTATTTCATTGTGTAAATGTACCGCAGTTGTTTGATCCACCCATTTACTAATGGGCACTTAGGCTGTTTCCAGCACTTGGCTATTATAAATAACGCTGCTATGAACATTGGGGTGTATAGGTTCTTCTGAATTGGTGTTTCAAGATTTTTTTCTTCTTTACTTTTAGCCCCTCAGCTCTTCCTCAAGTAGGACCTCTCACTCCATCCCTACAGACAATTTCTTCCCTGGAGGGCAGCTATGAAGGTCACTGTTCTTATAAACACTGTCCACAAATGCAGCAAAGCGTAGTTGAAAGCACCCCCACTGTTAATCAGGGGACCTGAGGGCTACTCCTGGCCCTGCCAGTAACTTGCTATAAGAGGGGACATGTCCATACAATTCTCGTGGCCTTCATTTTTCTTCCTGTCAAATGGGAATGATATGAGCTCCACCAAACTCCATAACATTGCCGTGAGCAAAATGGAGGGCAAATGCTTTTCAAATGTAAGGTGGTTATAATGACACTGGTGAGTTCATCAACCTGTCATCCAGAAGACTGAATTCTTCCAGCCAGGACTCAATAGATACTGCTTCCTTGCCTAGTGAACTCTACCTATCCTTGGAGCTCATGTTAAAATGTCTCCTTCTCTCTGAAATCTTAGACTTACCATGTATTTAGCAGTCTCCCTTATGCAAGTCACACTACATACAGGCATACACCATTTTATGGCACTTTGTTTTATTGTGTTTCACAGATACTGCTTTTTTTTTTTTTTTTTTTTTTTTACAAATTGAAGGCAAGATCCTCCACTAGCAAGTAGATTACCATTCAATTTACTGCAATACTTGCTTATTGTGGTGGTCAGGAACTGAACCCCCAATATCTCTGAGGTATGCCTGTACCTTATCTCATTTAATCCTCATAGCAGCCATGTGTGACAGGTAGCATTATGAGTCCCATCTTTTAGATGAGGAAACCGAAACACAGAGTGCTTAAGGGACTAGCCCAAGGTCACACAGTTTATAAAGAACAGAGTAATAAAAGTGTATTACTCTCTGCTCCTATGACATTTTGTTTATACCTGTAGTCATTAACCCACAATCTGTCTCCTCTTCATCACGTTATGAGTTCCTGGAGGGCAGTGGCCATGTCTCATTTATCTGACAAAAGTACTCAGTGAATGTTAGAAAATTGAATGGGTTGAAGTGGAATAGAACAGAATGGAAGGAAAGGGTAGGGAACTGAATGAAGTAACTGGCTGGCCCGGGATTTCCAATTCCATAGTGCCTTGTCTCGCCAGTCAATTCCATGAGGTTTCATCCACCTCTTCTGGTCACTGCCATCAAAGGGCCATTTGAGAGTGCAAAAATAGTGCCTTTGCTTCTTGTCTTAAGACAGACTGCTGTTGGTGTTCAGGAAACATTCAGTGAATATCTGTGGGAACTTATGAACTCTTCAGTAAAAGAATTTATCTTCCATGTAAGAAGCTGCCTCCAACTTTCTCTCAATCTCCACAAGTGGCCCAGAGTGCCATAGCACAAACTATTTCTGGAGTTCTTCCTAAAAAAAAAATAAAAGCTGTGGAACAAATTGGAGGGGACCGTAGGAAAGAACATGAAAGTCTATTATGAAACAGAGAAAATAATGATAGGATTTTCCAGCTCAAATCAGGTTAGAGCTGCTCAAAAGTTAAATGTCTTTCAAAGTAGTAATAATGATCACTGGAAGAATAATTAATATTTACTGAGTACTTACTTTGTTCCAGGAACTGTGCAAAGTTCTTTGAATGTATCATCCTGGTTAATCCTTATAAAAGCCTTATAATATGGCCACTACTATAGTTCCTGTTTTCCAGGTATGGAAACTGAGGTTTAGAGAGGTCAATCAGTTGGTTCAAGATCTCATGAACATAAGTGGAACATGAGCTGGGGTTAGAAGCCAAACTAATGTGATAACCAGGTTTTGTTGTTGTTGTTTTCAATCTTTGTTAGATAACCAGGTTTTAATCAGTATACTTTATGACAACACATTTCAATTACCTTTAAAATAAGAACAGGTGGGAGACACATATAGTTTTACTATTGAGTGAGGATGTTCTCAGCAGAGTCTTGGGTGGCATGGGATCTGCATACCTTTATGAACTTCAGTTTCTATTTCCCAAGAGGGTTTGCTGGCGAAGTGGCCCTGCAGAATGAGTCTTTGTAAATTTGTATTCATTCCTTCCCTTCATTCTTTTTCATTCTTTGGTTTCTGAGACAATCACTCCGTCCCCCTACACTGCTCCAACCACACTCCTGCCCAGCCACAGATTCATTTGATTTCCAAGTGTAGGTGTAATGTCTGGGGCCTCAGACTGAAATAGATGCCCCTGTGAGTCAAGCTAAGGCTGCAGATAGAAACCTAGACCATTAGTGAGTCTAAAGAAATATGTAACTACATCGCTGAATTTTGTTAAGATTTATTGGTTCGTTCTCACCACTTTTTACTTCTTTCATTTTCATCCCTGTCAACAGCCATCAGTTAGTTATCATTTTCAGCTGACACTGGCAGACTTGGTCTACTAATGGCAGAACTGAGAGGAAAGTGGGATCTGCTACACGGAGCCATCATCCCAACTACTTAGGGAAATTGTTTTTCATGGTTTTACACTGCCATTTCTATTCACCCTTTAATGAACGCTTTCTGTCCATAAATGAAGCAGAGATGGAAGAGGTGAATAAGTGCTAACATAAATTGCAGTGGGTCAACCACAAATACAGGCTTTCAAAAAATAGTTCTTTTTTTTAAGTTTAGGTTAAGGTGCTTGCTGATTTCTAAAGTACTTTCTGGGTTTTATTAGTGTGCCAGATGCGTCAAAAAATTTGCTATTTCCAATCTTTATTTGGTAATCCATGCATCAGACTGGAAGTTTGCTTTTTTAAAATAAGATAAAGATCAGAATATAACACGTGCTTGTTACCATCTTATTGATTCACCAGTCACATGCTTGCTAATGAATAATGAAACTGAAATAAGCAGACTCTGAAAAGCTATGGTTGACTTTGACTTTTAGTTTTTGGGCACGTACATTTCTTTTTAGGTGTGATTCATATCTACAAAGGAAAATTGGCAAATGGTGGGAGAAATTCTTTTATTGCACACACTTTATTTGTGTAAGTAACGACTGCATGTGGCTTTAGCATCTATACCTCAGTTACTTTCCATTATCCTGAATTATATCCAGGAGCTGAATGTTGTGTGGTCAGGCTGACCATCTCCCCACATGCATTGTGTGCCATGTTGCTTTGCAGCTCGGCTTTGGATCATTCCTTGGAATCATCGGATCCAACCTTATTGAGAACAAACGGCAGATGGTAAGTTTTCATTACTGTAGAATCAAGTTCTTCATCTGAAAGTAACACACTTCCTAAATTTGCCCAAATTGGGCCACAAAAGAGACTGCTACTTTGTCTTTTCTCTTAAGCCTCCAGGGAACTTGTTTTTCCATTACCCTGTGGTATGCAACTTGTTCTCATCTTGTCTGATGCTCCCTCAGTGTCCTAGCTAGTCTTGCCCTTAGCTCTCCTCCTCACTCCCAAAGAAGTGCCCCAGCCAGGTGACCGTTCTCGCCTAGAATGCCTTTGCTTCTGTGATTTTCATTGCTGCAGCCCTGGATTATTAGTGACTCTCACAGCTTCCTCTCTGATGCATAATCCTATGAGGAAGTTTTCACAGAGGGTTACTGCTTTTTAGGAGATTATAATCTACGGTACTTTGACTAAGAGAACAAATATACTGGGGGCACACAGAACACAAAATACAGTTATGAAGCCTTAAAGTATTTCCATTACCCATAGTCAAAAGCTAAATATGTTGTAAGTTTGAAAGGGAGGATGAGCATATATAACAAGAGGTAAAACTTGGAAATTATGTCCTAAGGGGGGCGCACAAGGGCAAGCTGTTGTATTTTCCTGGTTCAGTCCGAGAAAGCTTCCTAGAGGGCAGGAGAAAGAAGGTACAGACCGAATTACAAGCACATTGCAGTTTACAGGGCTTTTAAATCAAGATGCCTGGTAGGTGGTCAGAGATGGACTGATGATGTTCCCCAAGTATAAGTCTCTGTGGCATCTTGACTTTGATAATGGGGTCTATTTAACAGCAAGTTTAATCAGATAACGTAATAGCTCCAAGGACAGAGAACTCTAATCATATATTCTCCCCCCAGCAATGTGGGAATCGCTCTCAGGGGAGTTCTAATAATTCTCTTCTTCCATTTCACCTGGACTCTACCCCCGCCCCTTCCCTACCAGTAGTGTTTGTACGTTGGACCTAAATTATTCAAAATAATAGGGGAGTTTTAGTTGTAGAGCCTATCATAGCATAGCTAATAATGCCAATTTCATGACAATGTTCATACATTATTTACCAATTCTCTGTAATGCTCTGAAGTGAGATTTATGGGGAGAGGTTTCTGAACAACTCCCAAAGGAGAAAGATAATAAGCATTTCCTCGTAGCCTGTTGAGGTGGAAAAAATTTAGGGTGGCCTTGACTTTGATTCTTCTTTCTCCCTGGAGAGCTGCTTAATGACATGCTGTTTCCCTTTTTTATTCCCCAAATACCTCAAGGAAGGAAAACACTGAATCCATCTCATTCTGAGGGTCAACATGGGTAGATGGTGGGCTCAGGCAACACCTATCCATGCCCCTATAAATACCTTAAAACACTGATGTCCATGTTGGGTTGTAGTATCACCCTTGTGATGGGAGACAAATTATCAGGAACATTTCTGTTAGCTAACATGGTCAGAGAATAGGGCAGTCTGGTTCCAGCAAATATTTTTTCTTAAAATTTTTCATATGTACCACACAGAGTCAATCAATTTCAGAGACTTCAATCCTTGTAAAATGTCTTTGACATTTAAGTGTTAAGTTGTAGAAGTCTGTGTAGGTTTTTGTGGGACTTCAAAATCATCTCTGTATTCATCAGATCCCACTATGATGGGCTGGGAAGACATTGGACTAGGAAGGGGTTGGTGGATACCAGATTCTTCCGTGGACTAAGTGGTGATCCTGGACACGCACACCACTTCCTCTCTCTGAGCCTCCAATTTCACAGTAAATAAAATAGAAGATTGGAGTACATAATGTCAAAGGTCCAACATTTTTCTGAGTCTGAGAATGCAAAATTCATGTAGTCAAATTCTGCCACGTAGAATGCTGGATACCAGCAAGCGTCCTACATTTGGTGCTCACAGACTCACAGAGTGAATCTTAGTTTGCTCTGAAAATGTAAAAAAGTGCTTCATTTGTCCCTTCTATGCCTTCCCCCTTCCTCAGTTTCCACTAATCCTACATGATTGCAAAGAGCATCCTAATGGGATGGCAAGCCAAAGCTCTGCTTTGGCTGGCAGTCTCTTGGGGATTGCCTAGTCCCTAGAAGCAGCAAGAGTGGAAAGCTAATAGACACTTTTGTTTTGTTCCCCCCACAGCTGGTGGCTTCTATCGTCTTTATCAGCTTTGGTGTGATTGCAGCCTTTTGTTGTGCCATAGTTGATGGAGTCTTTGCTGCCAGACACATTGTGAGTATTTTTAGTCCTGGGTTAAAGTAAATGTGCACTACAGCAAGGCTTCATTGAGTCTGTGCTGGATGTGTGCTGAGTGTGATGAGGGAAACAGAAGAGGAAGAAGACAGGATCTCTGCCATAAGGAGCTGACAGTCAAGATGAGGACACCCATGGATACACAGGCCTCTAGAGAACTGGGTCTAAGCTGAGGGTACAGACTCTAAGTGCCAGCGTGGCTTATCTTGAACTCCAGAGGTCAGAACAGGGTTTCCAGTGGTGGTGGGGCTGGAGATAAGCCTTTGGCATGTGGGTGAGATTTGGAAAGGCAAAAAGGCAAGGGTAGCAGGACCAGGGGAATGGCTTGGGACTGTTGTTGGTAGTAGGCAGTAGGAAGAGAGGAGCAAGAAGCCACATGACTTCTTGAGAGACCGTGACTTCTTAAAGTTTTCAACAGATGGCCTCTCTTTCCTTCAATAGCAACAAGAGCAGACCATAAGGACACAGTCACCTTTTCTCAGATGCCTGAACTTTGCTGTCCCTGCAGCAGTGGTTGGAGAGTAGAGGTGTGATTTGGGTCTGGGGAAATCCCAAGGACTAGAAGCCTCTACTCAGAGCCCATTCCTGGTGTTAAGGTGCCAAATGCTTCCTACTCTGGAGGAAAATGTGCTTCAAGAAAGGCCACTTTACTCCTGATACCAAAAACCTGTGCTCATTCCCTGGGGAAACCAAGGATTTAGGGCATCCACATGATCCCTCACCCCCTTTTCAGCACTTCTCATTTCATACTATTCTAGACATCTGGCTCAGGGCTGACTTCTCCACAAGGCACAATAGGCACAGTGTCTATGAGCCACAGTACTTTCAGGTCCTATAAAAATATTATCATTTCTTTTCAAATCAGAAGAAAACAATGCACTTTTAAGTCCAAAGAAAGTTTTCACATATGGTATAAATATATATGCCAATGCTGTCATAAAATATAATTAAAATAAATACAATATCATTTTTGATATTCCTTAATGGAGGAAGAAGGGGCCCACAAATGCAGAAGTGCCTAAGTCCCAAGGAAATCGTAATGTAATTCTGATCTCGCCCACAAACAAAAATCAAGCCACAGTAAATTACTGAGCTTCCACAGCAAGCCCAAATACCCATTTGATTCCAACTGAACCAATGTTGAAAATGAAAATATCTCATGAACTAGTTGGAAATTTTTTTTCTAAAACAATTTAATCAGAACAAAATTGTGTTATAATCTTCTGTGGATCAATGATTTTTTTTTCACTTTAGTCATTGGCTAATAGTGCAGATCATCTTAAGGGAATGTCATAGGTTTGGTTGGATCAGGGAAAGGATGAGTTACAACATTATTATTTTAATTTCAACTTGTTTTTGGATCTTCCTTTCAGACATAAGAGTTAGTCCCTTTTTGCCAAGATTAGAGGAACTCATATGATCAGTGCTGCCACCCAAGCAGTCTCTGAAAGGGCATCTCAGATGATAACTTCTGGGAAGGGATAAAAGAAAAAGGCAGGAGGAAGGATCCTTTTGTCCAACTTTCTTTTAGGGCCAGGCATATAAAGGCAGGTCCTTATATTAGACTCACTCCTTCTGATTTTAGCTGAGAGTAGCCATCTTGTTCATCTTTTTCTTCTTAAAAAGGCAAAGGACATAACAGGAGCTTATAACATCAACAATCCTACCTCCCTAATATATGAATTCTTATCATTTTTGCATATTAACCTCAGAACACATACCTATTTTTTGTAACATGATTGCAGTCAATCATAGTATGCATGCTATTTGGTATTCAGCAGAAGCCATCTTGATAAGAGTAATGCCTTGTTTTTGTGTAGTGCATTTAGCTTTTCATTGTGCCTTCACATCTATTATGTCACTTGAGACCCACAACAATCCTATGAGATATGTAAGGCAGGCATTATTATCCCCATTTGACAAGCAGTATTCACTCTGAGGCAGTCTCCATGGCAACACAGGTTTTGTGGCCAAGAAGCCTGCAGCAGATTTGGATGGCATCATGAGCTAAAATGACTTCCTCCATTTTCCTCCTCCTTTCCTAATTTTTAAAACATTTTTATTGAGATATGGTTCACATCCCATATAATTCACCCATTTAAAGTATACAGTTCTGTGGCATTTATGTCTTCACAGTTATGTGCAAACTATCACCACATCAATTTTAGAAGACTTTCATCGTCCCTAAAAGAAACCCCATAACCTTCAGCTATTGCCTCCCCATCTACCAATTCTCCCTACTCCTATGCACTAGTGCTTCATTTCTTTTTATGGCCCAATAATATTCCATTCTGTGGATATACCACATTTGTTTGTCCAGCTGATGTAAATTTAGGTCATTTTTATCTTTTGGCTATTATTAACATTGTTATAAATGTTCATGTACAATTTCTGTATGGACATGTTTTCATTTTCCTTAGCTATATATTTCTAAGAATGGAATTGTTGAGTCATGTGGTAACTATGTTTAACCTTTTGAGGAACTACTGGACAGTTTTCCAAAGTGGCTGTGTCATTTTACATTCACACTGGAGGTGTCTGAGTGTTCTAGTTTCTCCACATCCTTGTCAACTCTTGTTATTGTCTGACTTTTTAATTCTAGCCATCCTAGTGGATTAGTGGGTATGAAGTGGTATCTGATTGTGGGCTTGATTTGCATTTCCCTTAAACTCTTAATGTTTTTGATTTCTGGCCTCAGTCAAAGGTAATGGGGAAAAATCCAAATTATATTTACTAGAAGTTCCCTCTAAATACCCCTACCTGCCTCTGACTGCAGGCCCTGTGCATTTCCTGAAGTTACTGGCCTGAAGCAGTGCATTTGACTCAGGGGTTTGGGGTAAGGCTGTATGAATCTTTGAGAGAAACTTTGTGCATCCACTGTACCTGTCCTAAGACATTAGCCAGTTCTCATTGACACTCAGAGAGTTTTGAGGAATGGGGCTTTATTAATCTATGGTGATATCTATTGGCCAGTTAAGGCACATTTTGACCTTAACACCACTTGGGTGGGTTAGAACCAGCTTTTTCTGTCTTCGAGGCCCTTTAATATCATGTTGCCCTGTGTTTTGGCTTGGGAGCATGTGAACTTCTCAAGACTTACCTTTCTACATATCCCTCTAAATGTTTCTTTTTTCTCTCCCTTGTCTCCTATTTCCTTCCTTGTCCCTCCCCATAATATAGTCAATAACTAGATGGAAAAGTCACGTTACCTTTTTGTGCCACAGTTTCTCCTCCTCCAAATAGTTATAATAGTAAACTATCTCTCAGGTTAAGTATGAGGACAATATGAAGTCATGGGTATGAACATTCACTAAGAGGGCTTGACTAAAAGTAGACACTCATCATAAAGCAATTACTGTTTACATCCCTTCACTCCAGAGTTGGTGGCCCTTCAGATTAAAAAAGTTACCAAGCCCTAGCTGACTGACTTTTTCTTACCTCTTAATTGCATGAGCTTGTTCCTCCTCTGGGGTCTCAATGCAGAATAACAGCTAGAAGCACCAAATGAGCAACCAACACACATGTCTATTTTCATTTAGGGCAGTTGGTGGCTGAATCCTTTTTGCAGAACCAGGAGGTCAGGAAGGCTGTGACCAGCACATCAAGCCTCCCCTTCCGCGGGACAATAATGACTTCTGCCATTACCCAAACATGGAAAATAAACCCTGCCAGGTGTGAACATGAAAACCCTCATTCCTTTCCAACCTGTCCCCAGGCTAGGGCAACAGGACAATGTACTTTTAGAACATTAAGCAGCCAGGAGGTTCATGTAGAAGCAGCTGATTGAAAGTCCTAAGTCCTTGGTGGGATTGGAAGCCAGGAGGCAGGAGGCACTTGGGTGCCAGGAACAATAGATGCTAAATCACATGTGTGGGGAAAAGCAGACACCAGGATTATTGGAAATGGTGAAAGAGGTTGGGGCAGGGCAGGGAGCAATTGGTAAACTCCCTTGGCCAGTGTGCTTTGGCCAAACCTCTAAGGTCAATTTGCATAAACTGGCTGTCCAGTCCCAACCTGCTTTTGGCCTAAGCCACCTACCACTCAAGGGATGTTTAGTGTCACCATGAGAGTGAACAACATCCCCTGCCTGCAAACTTCCAGGCAGCACTGGGTTGTGCCTGTCTGTTCTATGCCAACCCCTACCCCTCAGCACTCCATGCCTGAGAGCTCCTTTACCAGGAAGCTGGCCAAGCCAGTGGGAGTAAATCAACTATCCCTGAGCCCCATGTTAGTTTTCTGGGCTTTAGAAGTAATTTTGGAGTTCACTGTATTTATCTACTTCATGTAATTGAGTAAAAATCGCTCATAGTTCAGTTGAGTTAAAATTTCAATAGCTGCCCATCCCCGTGGGGTTTACTTCCTAGGCTCTTCCTTCTGGAAAAGCTGTGGCCATGACAGCTGAGAGTACCTGTCAGCCAACCCTGGTCCTATCCTCGGGTGATAATAAGACCTCATTGTTAGAGCTGCCCCTACCCCCTTTTGGGAGTGTGATGTTGCAATAATCTGGAGTTTTGAATCTCATTCCCTGGGGACTCTTTTCAAGAAGACAAAAACTAGAAATAAAAGGAAAGCAGAGAGGAAATTTTCAGAAACCCATTTCTCAATCAATTTCCTAATGTCCCATTAACCAAGTGGTCCAATGCAACGCAGTCATTAGAACATTTTTATCTGATCCTCACATTCTCAGGCCTCCTAAATGTTTTCAGAAATTAACCCAACACACTGCTTGCTCTGGTGTATGTGTGTGTTCAAATGTTTTATTACTAATCAGAGCACCTGCTGCTTCCTTTTCTAAAGCAAAACCACCTTTGGTTTGGTGTTTTCCTTTCCAGGATCTGAAACCACTCTACGCTAACCGGTGCCACTATGTTCCTAAGACAGCCCAGAAGGAAGCTGAGGAGGTGAGCCAGAATGAGGCTACATGTCTTGCCTTTCAGGAAAGTCTCCTGTTCTGCCTAAAATCTTTTTCTTCTACTCCTTTCTAGGGGCCTAAGGCTGGCTGTTAGGTATCTGTAGTTGATTTGCTCAGTGGATCAGAGCACAGTCCTAATGACACCACGGTCATAGGTTGGAGCCTCGTCAGGCCTAATCAGATTACTATGTTCTCTGGCCATAGACTAAGCCACTGACCCTGAAGGCAGCCTCTTAGTGTGTGGCTTTGATCCCAAGAAGGACAGGTGAGAGTACAGAGGCTACAGAGTAGGTTCCTCCCAATCTCTGTAGATAATGTTTCAGTTGCCTGTGGTTCAGGTGCCAAAGCTGGAAGAAAAGCAGAAGTCCCACCAAGGAACTAGGCCTAAACATGGAGACAGAGTCTGAGTCCCACATACATGAGGCGTCAGGAAGCCAAATGAGGTTGCTTAAGAGGCCTGATTCCATTGGAGGCTGTAGGGATGGCTGGACTGTTCGCCTGGTCCCTCTCATGATACCCTCAAGAGTCAAGTCAGATAATCCTTGAGTGGGTATAGGAGAGTGTCTCTCTCCTGACCCACACAGCTCTCCTTGTGTTCTATGTCCCTTCATGCAGAACTAGAGGTGGTTGGCAGTGAGGTGAAGCATGACTCCTGGTCATTTTCGTAGAGCTTTCATTTCAGTACACAATAGTACCAATAGTACTGTCTCCAACCCAGAGATCACTTTCATAGGAAACACTACTCTGTCTTTCCAGGAACCTTGACAATTTACTTCACTGTTAACCTCAACTTGAAAGTCAGCCCCCACCCACCCAAATACCTAGAAAAATTTTGAATTAGTGATTGGGAAAAAAGAGAGGTAAATAGATTTAAAAAATCGCCACTGCATTGCACAACTTCAGGGAAAAACATTCTACATAAAATACAATGGGAATGGTGGGATACCCTGGTCCTAAGGCATCGGAGCAAATAGTTTTTTAATGGCCCCACCACCCTCCTGCCCCCTATTCTTTCCCCAGTCATAAACCTACCATTTTTCTAACTATCCTCGGGTTATAAGGGAGGAGTAGAAATGTGTATGCTTATCAGAAAGGCAGTGAGCACTTGAATGAAAGACCCAATATAGGAAAGAATGCTCATTTACTACAAATATTCTCTATAACACAACAAAATAAACTTCTAAGCACTATATTGCATCTGTATGGGGGAAAGAGCCTAGAAAATTTCTTACCAATAGATATGACAAATGGAAATTAATCTTTAAAACATTTTGTCAACTCAAGATGTGTAAAATGTCATTGCTCTTCTTTTGATTTTGTCGTGATCACTTGTGTTAACTTGGTGACTGTAAAAATATTAATAATGACTTCCATAGGTTCACTGGTAACCCTGGTCCCCCTAATCCTATTTTTCCTATATAAGGTCATAAGTTCCTCAACCAAAAATTCTCCTTCCGCGAGGGTTATGAGGAACCTTACCCAGGCAGCTAGAGAGGTACCATTGTACTTCAGAGTGCATGTGACAGCCCCTGTCTTCCTTCCCATCTGGTGCCCTTTCCTCCTCTACCCTGATTTGCCTTCCCCTTGTATCCTCATTTTCTACTGTCCATTTGTTCTTCTGTCTGTCCTTCCATCCATCCTTCCTTTTCCCCATCTGCACCCTTCAGGGATGGGGCACTGAGCACTGTGGCTGAGGTGGACTCGAGCTCAGCTACACAGTGACTCACCTCATACACAATTCAGCCAGCCCCCTGCCCAGCCCCATCCCTCCTATGCATTGGTGTGTTCATCTCACAGCCATCTTTACCATCTCCATCTGTCACTAACTCACATTTCCAATCCCAGAGGGTCCTTCCTCCCATGCAATGCCAGCTCATCTCCTCACTGTTGTGTGCCCTCAGGTGAACTGCCCTCGCCTCAACCATGGATTCTGCACACCTCGAATCCGGGGCAACACCTGCTTCTGTTGTGACCTCTACAACTGTGGCAAGTAAGAGTGGAGCCCCCCAGACAGGGGAGTAATAATGGTTTGATCACAATGGATAATAGAAGGGCTAGGGTGGGGGAAGGGCACATTAAAGGGAGCAGAGAAGGGGAAGACACTGGTCAGTCATCAGATTTCAGCTCACTTGTACTACCCACCTTCTCTGTGCCAGACAGCATGCCAAGTGCTTTTAAATATTTGATCCTATTTAATTCTTGTCTATTATGTCTGTAGAATTATTATCCCCATTTCACAGATGATGAGAGTGAGGCTCAGAGGAAACAGACAAGTAGCTCAAGGTCACACAGAACTTGAAAATGGTAGAGATAAGATTCAAACACAGTTCTGTGTAAGTCCAACAATACTTAATGAGTCACTATTGAGCACTTTCTCTGTACCTGGCTCTATTCTTGACACTGGAGATTCAACAGCAAACAAAACAAAAATTTTTGCCTTCTTGGAGATTATATTTTATTAAGGAAGACAGTTAATAAATATATGAATATACAGGGTGGGACAAAAGTAAGTTTACAGTTGTTTGTATGGAAAATAATATCATAATTAATAATAATAGAATAATAAACTATGTGTTTCATGTCCTCACAACTGTAAACCTACTTTTGCTCCACCCTGTATAGCATGCCAAGTGTTGATCAAAGCTCTGAAAAAAAAATGAGGTCGTAGAGGCAAATGGATACTGACAGGAGGGGAATGTGTGTGCTAGGTTAGATGGAGTACCAAGGGAAGGCCTCCGAGTAAGTGACATTTGTACAGAGACCTGAGTAATAGGAGAGGGCAACCAAAGTAGATACTTGAGGAGAAAGAGTGTTTCAAGCAGAGGGAACAGCAAGTGCAAAGGCCCTGAGGCAAGAGCAGGCTTGGTGGCACTTTTACTACAACCATTCTGGTTCTTTGCCATCCAATTGTGAAAAGATCATTTATTATTTCTTTCAGAACATATTAAGGAGCTAATAATACAGAGACTACTGCTGAGGAACTCATAGACTAGTAGGGAAGACAGAATATATGAGCAAATGATTGCAATATAGTGTGATAAGTATGGTGGATATAGTGGGGACACTGGCAACACAAATGAATAAAAGTCAGAGTTGCTGATGTGCGGTCAGTATCAAGGAGGAGTTGATGTGGGAGCTGAGACTTAAAGGATAATTAGAGAGTTAGGAAATCAAACCAGAAAGGGGTGGAAGTGGTGAGGCTATTCCCAGGAGTTGTGGGGGTGAGGTAGTTATAAAAGGGGGTGGGAGGTAAGAGCAGAGCTGTGGTCACAGGCCAAATCAAAGAGGGCTCCCTGGCCATAGAAATGTCTTTAGACTTGACCCTGTAAACAATTAGGAGCCATTGAAGGGTATAGCATGGAAGGTGGATTTGAGTGCTTAGAGAAGAGGCAGCTAGGGGTTTACTGCAAGATTTTAGGCCAAATAGAGTGGAGCCTGGATTAAATTGGTTTGGAGAAAATAGAAAGCAAGAATACTTTCAAGAGCACTTTAGAAAGTAGAATCAACAGGAATGCATGGGCAAAAGATACAGAGCATAAGTGAATAGCCCTGCCTATGGGGTGTGTCAGCCAATGCCTGCCCATGCACATTTCTCTGACAGAGGTGTCCAACCTGCGACCCGCAGGCCACATGCAGCCCAGGATGGCTATGTATGTGGCCCAACACAAAATCATAAATTTACTTAAAACATTACGAGATTTTTTGTGTGTGATTATGCGTCACAATGTATTTAATGTGTGGCTCAAGACAACTCTTCTTCCAGTGTAGTGGCACAAAGACACCAAATGGAATCCCTGAAAGATTCTCAGTGCAGGAGTTCTGAAGGCTCAGAAAGGGAGAGGGAAAGGGAGGAATTGGCAGAAAGGGCCTGAATGGGGCTAGATCCAGAGGGGCAGGTGGATGCAGTCTCTTCCTCACTCACATTCCCTACTCTCTGTATTGGTGGGGACAGTTTCTCTGGGTTGAGGATTAAGAATGGACAGATGAACAGACTTGGAGGCAGGGAGGAGAAAGGGGGAGCTCAGCATCAGCCCTTTACCCTCTTCACTAGCACCAGACCCATTTCGTTAAAAGGTCTGGCAGAGGAAAGGAAACTTAAAGGCTCAAATGAGGTTTGGGGATTATCTGGGAGGTTCAATTATTCATGTTATAATAATAACTAACACTTGTAAAGGACTTCCTTCCTAGCAGTGGTGATTGAGAGCTGGCTATAATTGTACTTCCTGAGCCCATCCTTCCAAAAATGATCAAAGGAATGTAAAATAGGTCCCAGGGGAATTTGGGTTCTTTTGCTTTCTTTCCTCTTGCTTCTCCTCATTCCTCCCTCCCCTACTCTGCCCTTCCCTCTCTTTTTCCCTCCTCCTTCCTCTTCATTCTTCTTACTCCCTTCTCCTATCCGGCTTCATGGCCTCCTGGGCAGGGGCTAGGACCTGGCCAGAATGGGGCCTGAGATCTGAGAAGGAGACAGGAGGCCAACTGAGGAGCCTGAGAAGTGATTCCTCGCAGACACACTTTTCTCTGTGTAATTAGGTGTGTTTCTGACAAAAGTTTGAATAAACTAAATCCTACTTTAAATTCCATTTTGCTGAGCCCTTAGGAGAATTTTTTGAATGTGGATACTCAAGCCCAGTTTATCTTTCTGTCAATCTGAACTTCATAATGACTTTCTAACTTTCTTAAAGCAAGTTATGCCAGGATTATCTTCAAGGATCTAAAGGAATTTTATGGGGAGTTGCGCTAAACTCTGGGCTCCCTAAAGGCAGTGAACATGACTTCATCTTATCTATATCCCCAGGCTCTAGTATAAGACCAGGCATGAGTAAAGGCATGGGATGAAAAAGGAGTGAAATTTTTTGAAAAGGAACAAAAAGAGAAACATCCTTTTCACCAGGAAAATAAATTATGGGACTAGGTGACAAGAGGGGTCATGAGGACATTGCTCTTAAATATCTTCAAATCTGGAAATGGTTTTCACTTACCTGATGCCTGGTCACCAGCCCTGAGCAGCAGTCAAGGCCCTTTGCAAAGTCTGTTGTGCTAAGATTCCAAGGGCAAGGCCACTAGAAAAGCACTTACTAAGCTTTTCATCAGGAAACCATCTCCAAGGCCATGATACTTAAGAGTTGATGATCCTACAATAGAAGAAAAGTTATATCTTGACCTGAGGCTTTTTCCAGCCAGCTACAAAGAGACCTCAACTCTAGGCCTAAATATAGCTAGCCACAAGCACTCTGAGGCTCAGAGACTTTAATTTTGCCGAATGCGTATTTGTTTTCCTCACATAAAGCCTATTTTTAATCAATTGCCAGCTCCTCCAGTCCATTTCCTGGAAAAGAGGCCAAGAAAAAAAAAAGTGGGAACAAACACATCAAGCAGTCATTTGTACAGTGCTACGGAAACACAGAGTTTCTACTGTCCCCTCAAACCCACAGACTTTCTCTGATGTCAGGGGCAGTGAGGTTTTAATACCAAACATAGATTATTTCATTTAGCCTGTGCAGGAAGGTGGCTTTCTCTAGGACACAGCTCCTCAGCAGCAGCCTTTCAGCATACCTTACTCAGCGTTGGAGAGGTCAAGTCAATATCACTGGTTTTCAGTTTATAACCTAAAGGAAATGAAAGGAAATGGAAGTGCTTTGTGAACTGCTTCAACGAGTAATAAAATGAAAGATGATAGGTTATTTTCATTCATTTTTTCCTTTGACAAACTTTTATTGTGCTCCTACTATGTGCCAGGGACAATTCTAAAAAATACCTATCAGTAAAACATAATTTTGTCCTTAAGGAACTCATTTTACCAGGGAGATTGTGGGAAGGGGGAGTGGCTAAACAGAATACATGCAGTGGGAGAAATACACAGAGCGCTGTTTGTCCATCAAGAGTTGGCAAAAGGTTCCAGGCCCTTAGCATGCCCTTCTGCCTTACCAGAATCAGTTGCCTCCTACTTGGTTAAATGGGGTCTGAAACACAGAAAGGTTATCTGATTGTCCAGGCACACCCAGCAAGTTGAGAGCAAGGGGACGAGAGCCCATATTGGGTAATCAATCTCATGATCAATGCAATGATCAGTCTTTGAACTCGGTTATTCATTCACCAAGTATCTATTGATGACCTATAACATTTGTACCGCTGTAGGCAGTAAAGGAGACACAAATGTAGGTAAGAGATAACCCATGACCCAGAGCCAATTTAGATAGAGACCTTGTCCTCCTTGGCCTTGGTTGTAGCTTTAGCACCCAGCACAGCACTCAGTACTGAGTAGGCACTCAAAAAACATTGTATTAAATGGATGACTAAATTACTGACATATGCAAAGTGCCTAACTAAGGAAAACAGACTCTCTGAGACTATGGGAGTCCAGGGTAAAAGCTAATGAATGGGCATGGGAGTACTTGAAGAAGACTGTAGTGAGGTCAGTAGTGAAGCTTTGAGCAGTGGGAGAGATTAGGCTAGGCAGAGAACAGAAGGCATTACCCTTCCATGCAGGGGGAGAAATCTGAGCACAGGTCTGAAATAAGCATCCAGCATGGCCATCTTGGGGCTTCTCAGGATTCAGCCTGGCTAAACCGTGGACTCAACTTTGGAGTCAGATTATGGCAGGCTGAGGAATTTGGATCCATTTTCCTGAAGGTCATGAGGAACCATGGAAGGATTTTGATTAAATCAATGGATAAATGGCTTAGTTTTTTTAAATGTGTAGGAAGTGGTAGGATATGGCAGGAGAGCCCTGCAGTCATGGAGGCTTGAGAGTAGGAGAGCTAAGAATGCAAAAGATGGAATTTCAGAGGAAGATCTGTCCAGAGACTAAACCAAATGGAATCATGAGTCTCAAACAGAAAAAAAACACATTAATTTGCTAAATCCTGAACCAGATATAAGTATTAATGTTCTTTTGCTTCATAGTTCAGTAAAAAAAAAAAAAAAATATTTCAATGGCTACTGAGCCTGCTCAAACTGAAACCAAACATATATTTTCTACAATTATTGAAAGTTTTTAAACAAACTACCGATCTATCCTCATGTTGTGGCCTGTGTCTTTAAAGTGTTAATGCCTTTTAAGAACAAGATTCAAAGATTCAAATCATGTTGCCAGAAGCTGGCTCTCAAAAAGGAAAAAGTATAGCTGCATGTTTTGGTGGGGGCTCTTATTATGTGCTGGTATACTGCTTTCATGCATTTTCTAATTAAATCATCAAGGCCCAGACGAGTTAAGAAAGTTGCTCAGGGTCAGACTACAAATAAGTGACAGAGCCAGGGTTCAAATGCAGTCCTACTCCAGAGTCTGCTATGCCATACTGCCTATCTATGTGTACTGCCAGACTGCCCTCAGTGTCTTAGGAGATAGGCAAAGATAATTTGGGGGAAGTCAGAAGCTGACTCTCAAGCTTCTTCTGGTTCCCTATAAGCCCACGCTTTCTCTTACACACAGGCATGCCCTTTCCAGTGGATAGTCATTGTCCAGCTCTGTCTTTCTGAGCATAAGTAATCTCTGTATCCTCCCTGCCCCATTACCCAGGACTCAATACAGTGCAAACTAACAGGAGACACTAATTGTATGCTAAGGGTGGTCTCTTCAGCTATGTTCTGGAAAATAGTGAAATCCAATTAAAATTCTGATTAATTGAAACACCTTTAACATTCCACTATGGAAACTTACTACGTAAGACAGTGGTTCTCTAATATCAGTGAGCACATTAACACAGATTCCTGAGCCTCATCCCCCAAGATTCTGCCAGATTCAGTAAGATTGGGGCTGGGCCTAAGAATCTGTTAACCAGCTCTTTCTCAAAGACACATACATTTACACACAGACATCCATAGGCACATACAAATGACACCCTTACACACATAGGAAGACACACATAAATCAAACACAGATGATTCTGATGCAAGCTGTCCTGTAATAACAGATTTCAAACTCTATGAGAAACACGGAATTTAAAAATCCTCATATAAATTCATCTGACAAGTTTAAAAGTCTTTTCTTGTGTGACTAATCTCTCCCTGATTCATTCTGGAGGTTAACTTTCAATTTTTTTCTTTCTCATTTTCAGTGTTTTTATAGCAGGGGAGTGATATGTAACAACTAACTTGATGCCAGAGTGTTTGGTTGTGACTTTCATTTTAAGAATCACAGTTTTAGGTTTCATTATTGCTTCCAGTTGTAAATCAGTTTACAACAGCCTGGATGACAAGAACTTTCATTTAATTCATTCACCAGGTATTTACATAGCACTAACTACATCTCAAGCACAGCAGTGAACAAAAGGAACCAAGTCTCTGTCCTTATGGAACTCACTTTTGAGTTAGGGAGACAGACAGTAAGAAGCAGACACATTAGTAAGAAATGAGTGCTACAGAGCAATTAAAGAAGGGAAAGGTCTTAGTTTGGGCTGCCATAAAAAAATAGCATAGACTGGGTGGCTTCAGCAACAGATATTTATTTTCTGGTGCGCACAATTCTAGAGGCTGGAAGTCTGAGGTCAGGGCTCCAGCATGCTTGTGTTCCAATAAGAGCTTTCTTCATGTCATGAAGATAGCAGCCTTTTCACTGTCTTCCTTCACATGGGCTTTCCTCAGTAACTGTGGCTCTCTCTTTCTCCCCACTCCCCAACTCTTTTTATAAAGCCACCAATCCTATTGGTTAGGGCCCCCCTTTTATAACATCATTTAACCTTAATTACCTCCTACAACCTCTTCTCCAAATACAGTCACATTGGGAGTTAAGGCTTCAACATATGAATTTTGGATGGGTCACAATTCAGTCTATAGCAAGTATTGTGATAGAGAATGACTGGGCTGGAGGTGCGGCGGGGGGGAGTCTTTAAACAGGGTTGTCAGAGAAGCCCTCTCCAAAGAGATGATAGTTTTTTTTCCAGCAACTCAACTTTAGATCTTTATTGGAACATTGTTTTTTGTTCGTCAGTGTTTTGTTTTGTCTTGAGAAATGAAACACTGAAAATTTCGAAAGCTGAATTCAGATCCCAACCCTACCTCTTATGACTTGAGCACATTCTTAACCTCTCTGTGCTTCAGTTTCTTCCTCAGTAAAAAAGGAATGGTGATAGAACCTTCCTCATAGAGTACTGTAAGGATTTACAGTGCTAACAGAACTTTATGCGAGGATGGAAATGTTCTGTAATCTTCTCTGTCCAGTACAGAAACCAGTCACTAGTGTGACCCTTACACGTGTGGCTATTGAGCACATAACATGTGGCTGATGAGACTGAAGAACTGAATTGTTAAAATTTTACTTAATGTTAGTTAATTTAAATTTATATAACCTCATGTAACTAGTAACTGCCATATTAGCACAGGTTTAATGAAGTCACATGTGTAAAATGCTTAACACTGTTCCTGGCCCATTGCAAGTGTCAATAAATGCCATCTAAGATTAGGGTTAGTGATGGTAACAAGTGTTTCTCTGGCAGTAGTTTGTTTGTTTGTTTGTTTAAATAGCCTTCACACTTGGATTTATTATAGTGTCTTGCTCACCGTGTGCATTCACGGCTATGATATCCCTTACAATATCTGTGTGTTAGCCAATGCCCTAAGGGCCAGCTTGTGCCTTGGGACTGACTGAAGTGTGCTTCTCCCTGTTCAGCCGGGTGGAAATCACCGGTGGGTACTATGAATACATCGATGTTAGCAGTTGCCAGGACATCATCCACCTCTACCACCTGCTTTGGTCTGCTACCATTCTCAACATCGTCGGCCTATTCCTGGGCATCATCACTGCTGCTGTTCTTGGAGGCTTTAAGGACATGGTAAGGAAGGTATTCACATTCCACAAAGGCCCCTTTTGGGTACTAGGGCCAAGCTGGGTGGTTAGGAGCAATGGAGACCCATGTTTTGAAGGGAGGAATCAGAAGCAATTGCTTCAAGGATGTAACTGCCTTCAAACATCTCAAGTTGAAGGAGCCAGGTAATGCAATCTGTCTGCAAATATTTCTTGTTAACATCAGTTGCCTATGTTCTTGAGGCACATTCTGGGGGTGGGTGGAGGAGGAAGGGGGTCCTCACCTCTCTGGTTCACGCTGGTTGTGTAAACATAGACTTTTCAAACTGTACGACTCACCCCAGCTCACACACACAGAGATTTTTAGCAGAAACCTTTTTGGGTAGTTTTTCCCCTAACAGACTTGGGGAGAGATGGAAGGAAAGAGGTTTTTTAGCTACAGGTAAAAGTAATGCTAGTTTCCCCCTCACAGGAATTTCATCCTAGAGTTTCTCCAGAAAGAGCATCTGGACTCTTTTTCCCCCCTGCATTTGGAGAGTGAGCCCCAGCCTAAGCTGCTTGCCTAGTCTTGTCCTCAGCCTCAGCCTCAACCTCAGTCTCAGCCTCCCCATGTTCCCTATCCTCATTTTCAACTCTTTTCCATCTTTGTGTGTGTGTGGGTGTCTGCAAAGGCACACAAGGACTCAGCACCCAGTAGGTGATTCATAATAATGGGCTCCTTTCTTTTGTTTTTAAAGCATTTCTAAACATTTACTTGCTTATTGAATAAACCTTGATCTCTGCTCTGGCCAGGTGGCTCTGTTAGTTAGAGTGTCATCACAACACGCCAAGGCCGTGGGTTTGATCCCTTGTCAGGACATATACAAGAACCAACCACTGAATGCATAAATAAGTGGAACAAATCTCTCTCCTCTCTTTCTCTTTCTCTCTCTCAAATAAATTTAAAAAAAGAAAAATAAAAAATAAACTTTGATCTCAAATTATAAAGAAAATAGCTTTAGAGCTATGGTTATCCTCTTGGCTTCCTATGAAGATAGAATCACTTGTGGTGCTTTAAAAACCTAAATTCCTGAGCCCCTCCTCCAGGGATTCTGATTTAATTGGTCTAAATTGAAGCCTAGAAAATTCTGATCTGCAGCCAGGGTTGTGGACCACAGCTTTAAAGGAATGTCCCAAGTATTTAGGGAATTATTTTGTCCATAAGAGGGGTTTTTCTTTGACCCTAGAAATGAGGCAGATAGCCCCCAGGCCCTTGGCTATTTCTGTCCCAGTTTGGGGTCTCTGAAGAACAGGAACCTGAAAGGCAGTTGGTTGTTTGACTCTGAACTGTCAAATGGATGGATAATGGAAAATCAAAGGTGGGCTAAAGAAAAACTCTGCAGTTCTAGGCAGCAAGTCCCTGGCAAGATCTGGCTGACTGGAAGTATTGAGTGTTCCTGCTGATGACCCTAAGTCAAGAGAAATCCTTCCCTGCTCTTGCCCAGCCTGTCTGTCCATTTGTTTGTCTTTGTCTCTTTTCTCTCCCTCTCTTCATACGTGCACTTCTCATTCCCACGCCCTTCCTCCCACTCAGGAAAGCCCAAGCACAGAGGAGTAGGCCAAGCGTCAGCAAGGTGGGGCCCTCGAGGAGAAGGAGGAGGGAGAAGGATTTCCTGTTTGGGCCTGAGGGAGCTTTTGGTGAGAGAGCGGAAAAGCTTTTTCTGGGTTGGGACTTCTTTGGGGAAAAGAATGCCCTTTGTTCTTGGAGACTTCCCCCAGGGTGCAAGTGAAAGCTGAATCTGAGACAGGCTGGCTGGCTGGCTGGCAGAGAAGCTCCTGGGTTGGTGAGTTGAGGAGATAGGACATCAAGACAGGTGTGAAGAATTCTCTGAATCATTCCTAGAGTTTTCAGACTTGGGTAGCAGAGCCACCCTGAGACACAAATGGAGTGGGTGACAGCTGCTTGGTAGGTTCAGTGGGGTTCCACCAAGGACCCTTCTCAACAGTCAGTGGACCATTGATGTCTAGGCTTATTTCTGAACTCATAATTTCACTGTGACCTTTGCTTCTAAGGGGAATAGGGGGTTTGTTGACAGTCTGTCCACATAGGTGGCAGTAATGGCCCTTTACTCTCTACAAAGTGCTTTTGCACAATTAATTTCTCTGCTCCTCACCACTGCTAGTAGCTTGTGAGATAAGTATTACTGCCACCATTTCACAGATGAGGAAACAGGCCAACAAAGGTCAAGAGACTTGCCTAGAGCTAAACAGCAGAGCTGGGACTGAAGCCCAGTTTTCTCAGATGCCAGAGCTTTTGCTCTTTTTACTCCATTCCAGCTTCCCCTAACTAGCATTTGGTTAGCCCTTTCTGGTTCTACAAGTGTTTTCACAAACATTACCTCTTTTGTTTAGCTGCTTTAATATAAAAAAAATTAAATCGAGTTGTTTCTAACCGTTGAGACCCTCTTTAACAGTAAAGGAGTATAGCAAGGAAAGTTCTGATCATCATCAAATGCCAACCAAGCCTGGGAACTCAGGCAAGGACCAGTGGGGAAAATAAAAAAAACAAAAGCAGAGATCAGTGGGGCAAGATATTTGATTCATGAGGTAAGAGAACACTAGTAGGAGTATAAGATGGGAGGGCACCATGGAGGAAATACTTAGTTCGCTTTATTAAAATGAGACATGGTGTAGAAAATCCTGGAACATCCAGCAAGTGAACTTAAATAAAACCCTCAGCCTAGGTTCAAATGCAGTTGGTGACTTGTGGTGTACCTCCCTCTAAGTAGAATGCCCTGGGATCTGCAGAGAGACTCAGGGGTACTGGCTGATGATAGCCATTTCCTAGGGAGTGAGGACAGGAGCCAAGGGCTGTGAGCTGGTAGTCCTCAATAGGATCAGCTAGGAGCCACCATTTCTGGAGTTGTGGGACCCTGAAAGGAAAAAGAATGTCTTCATTCCCTGACCAGAGGTGCTTGGTAAAAAGAATCTTAAAGAAATGTTTTATGAAGTATTTGTTGACCAAAGCTATAAGGATTAGAGATGATTCTTTCAAAAGTGGTCATGTCTTGTCATTTTCTCCTAATTGGTGTCTCTGGTTTAGAGTAAAGTGGAAAGGAATAAAAGTGGCATTATTTCCAAAGTCCATAATCATTGTCTCAGAACAGACTCAGTTTTGTCCAGATAAGATTGCTTTCACCGTATCCTGTGCTACCTAGTAACCTTTGTTTCACTGGAGCTCAGAATGCTACTGATCAGTAATGCGGGTCTCATAACTTAAACCCCATAATTTTATTTATTTTTTAAAAGATTTTTTAAATTTATTTTTAGAGAGCAGAAATGAGGGAGAGAGAGGGAAACATCAATGTGTGGTTGCATTTCACATAACCACTGCTGGGGACCTGGCCTGCAACCCAGGCATGTGCCCTACACTGGGAATCAAACCGGTGACCCTTTGGTCGGCAGGCCAGTGCTCAATCCACTAGCCACACCAGCTAAGGCTAAACCCCATAATTTTAACAGAAATACCCACATACTCCTGTATGCACACACAAATAGAGGCAGTGACCACATTTATTGTAAAATCAGAATTATTGATTGAAAACATAACCGGGCTATTATTTGGGGCCATCTCTTTTGCTCCTTCCCTGTCTAGCTTTTCGCTTCACCTCCTTTTGATTCCCTCATCTTATTTTCTCTATATCCTCTACTCTTGACTCTCTTCTCTCTGTGGCTTTTCGGTGCTCATTCAATCGTCCTCTGATGTTTCTTCTGTTTCTTTCTCTATAATAATCAACTTCCTTTCAAAGATTTTCCTGGCCCTCCAGCTTTGCTGAATGCACACACACAAAATTTATAGATAGAGTTTACATTGTGTGATTATTTCTCTATGGTTAGGCTTAATTTATTTACATAAAGGAACTGGTTTCATTTTGCAAAAGCTGGAAGGTGTGTGTTTATTTATTTATTTTTGATGGATATTATTGAGATTTCATTGGTGGCCTTTCACTTTTAGGAAAAGAAATCTATGAAAAAAAGTAATGAGAATGATAAATCACTGAACCTAGAAATACTTTAATTGGCTAGCAAGTTATACATATACTATTTATTTTCTTACATCTTTAACTCAATACAAATAATTCATGCATTATTTGTTTACTTAATTAATTAGTATATCAGGAATCAAAATAGGCCATATGTTAGCTATTCAACTGGGAAAGAGATTTTGAAGTAATTTGTTGTTGTTCTGAGAAAGTACACAATGAACCACTGAACCATTATGATGTGCTAAAGAAACCATGGTATTGTACCCAGAGTATTCACAACCAAACATAAGAATGTATTCTGATAAATATGGATAATGACTAACCAATCGATCTTGGTTAGTCACCTCTCTTTTTATTATGGAGGGTGTGTTTTTAATTGACAGAAGGCCTAGAGAACATGATTTCTGGAACTTCCTCAGGGATGAAATTTCTTCTTAGAATTCTGGTGGAGAGGTAAGGGCATTTCTAAGCACTCTTCCTCTGTAACGTGAGCCAACCCTTAGAATGGCCAATATCTCTGCTCTCTCCCACACATGAGAGAAGCTGACAAACATTTTTCTGGTTGTCTATGAACTGCATTTTAATGACTGAGACTTGTAGTTCTTCAAATCATCTAGAAATGTAAATAGTAACCCACTCCAAGGAAGAGAGCAACAGAATTGTGTTGAAACTTGCTGTAAGGGAGTTTCCCCTGCCAACACCCCGACATGGTTGCCTGTGCCACTGCCAAAGCCTGCCCACACATTTTTATCACTTGAGAAGGAGCTTCTGCTCTCTGTTAATGTAGAGTAGATGTGTACCAGAAATAAGACACACTGATTTTGTAAACAGCTCTCAATTATCCACAGGAATGGAGGAGGTGTCAATGACATGGAAAATGGAAAAAAATATTTGCCCCACACCTTGGCCCATGCACTGAAAAAAATACAAACCAGTCTTCTTTGGGAACTAATGAGCAGTGGCGACTTCCTTTAGCAATGCTTTGGCCCTGTTGGGAGCAGGGCTCCCATCCTAGACAAGATTAGCTTTAACCCTTGAAGGGCTACGCACATGACCATGCTATAAAAATGGTATTCAATTCTTTCTGCATTGTTTTGTTTGCAAAAAAAATAATATTATTGAGATTTGGTCTTGGTCTTTCATGGTTTCTTTACACCGCTAGAGTTGAGTTTTGCTCACCAGCTTGTAGGGCTGAAGAGAAATAAATACACTTCATGTCTACATGAGAACTCCTTCACAATGTTGGAGTCTTCCAGAATCCTCACAACTTTCACAAACCTTTTGTGATTCATCACATTTTTGTCACAGCAAGAGCAGTAGCCTGTTCAGCCTTGTATATTTGACGTATATTCTGGGTCTTTTTGTTGTTGTTGTTTAAAAAATCACATAAATAAACAATTTTAAATTTTCCAAAGGTTTGAATTTTTAAAAAATAAGCTGAGGGAAATGACACAAGTAATACCTATTAGATGTAAAAATTTTGGCTGTATAACAGAAAGTGAAAAGTCTCAATTTACCTACTAATACTGTTACCCTTCCCAGAGATAACTACAGTTAACAGTTTGTTGTGAATCTTTCCAGATTAATTTTTTAAAGGTTTTATTTATTTATTTTTAGAGAGGGGAAGGGAGGGAGAAATAGAGGCAGAGAAACATCAATGTGTGGTTGCATTTTGCATGCCACCTGCCAGGGACGTGTCTTGCAACCCAGGCATGTGCCCTACACTGGGAATTGAACCAGCGACCCTTTTGTTCAAAGGCCAGCGCTCAATCCACTGAGCCACACCAGCTAGGGGAATTAATTTCTTTACATTTAAAAACACCCATACATATATAATTCTTTAGGTCTTTATTTTTACATAAATTTCGATCATGCTATATTAATATAACATGGTGGCTTCCTTTTTATTTTTTTATATTTTTGATTTTGGAAAGAATTTATTCTGAGTCAATCCACTGTGTATCTCCCAGATATTTTCATGTGTCCATATAGTGACTTGTTAGATGTGGTGGCTTCCTTATTAAACATTTATTTTTTAGAGCAATTTTAGGTTTAAACAAAATTAAGAGGAAGATTCAGAAATTTCCCATATATCCCCTTCCCATACATGCATAGCCTCCCCCTTTATCAACTTCCCCTACCAGAGTGGTACATTTGTTACCAAGGATGAACCTACAGTGAACCATCATAATCACCCAAAGTCCATAGTTTACCATATGGTTTACTCTTCAGTTTACCATATGGTTTACTCTTGGTGTTGTATATTCTCGGATTTGGATAAATGTACAATGACATATCCATCATTATAAAATCATATAGGGTATTTTTACACCCCTAAAAATTCTCTATGCTCCACCTACTAATCCCTTCCTCCAACCTCAATCCTGGACAACCACTGATCTTTATCTCCATAGTTTTGCTGGCGGCTTGCTTTTGTTTTTTATTTAACAAAATATCCTGGACAACATTCACTGTCACTAAATTGTTTATCGATAGTTGCAGGGTATTCTGTAGTATGGATGTACCTTGGTTTATTTAAACATCTTCCTAGTGATGAACATTAATATTGTTTCTAATGTGTGGTTTTCTACAGAATCCAACCCTCCCAGCGCTGAACTGTTCTGTTGAGAATGCCCATCCAACTGTTTCTTACTATGCTCGTCCTCAGGTGGCATCCTACAATACCTACTACCATAGCCCTCCTCACCTGCCACCATATTCTGCTTATGACTTTCAGGTAGGTTTTAAGAAAAAAAGAACTCTTCATTACCCTTGCTCTCTTGTTCTCTCTTTAATCATGGAACCTCCCCAATATGTATGAGGCAGCCAGGCTCTCTATCCCGGTGGCTTTTTAGCAGCCTGTGTGTACCAGTGACTAGCATAAGGACTATGTAGGCATGCAAAGGTAGGATAGATGGGAAAGGTGAGAATGACACAAGAGGAGAAGAAACAGAGAGATGGAAGAATAGGGGAGAGAAAAAAAATAGAATCAAGGTGTCTCAAATTGCCTTGACCTACACCAAGGAGAAGGATGGTATCATTTGTACCTCATCATGGACCCTTGTCCAACAGTGACTTTTTCCATTTACCTTCCACAGGGTGAGGCCTAGTCCTGCTCCTTAACACAGGGACATCCTGAGCCACACAAGGGTTTTAATCAAATCTGTAGCAATCCTTTCTTTTTCTCCAGACTTCCTAACTAGGACTACACAGAGATAATATTTTTATAACACCTCTTTCCCTATTTGTTGTCCTATTACCAAATAGGTCAGGAATAGTGTTACCAAATTTGCACTTTCCCCAGACTAAGCACAGAAAAACAGAACCAAAAAAAAGACACTTAATTAAAATGGATTCATTGTGTGCAGAGCACTTAACTAGACATTTCTGGTAAACAAATGAAATGGTTCTTTAGGCATTTTCGGTGATGGTAAACCCTCGACCACAGAAAAGTGGAATTACACTAAAATCTGGTTAATTAAAAATTGGGGAACCAAAAGCAACACCTTTGAAGGAAGGGAGACTCATAATGAATTTACTTCTATTGACTAAGAGCTCTTAAATGCTCCAAGGGGACATAAAACCATGAGTGTTTGGGGGTACTTCCAGTTAAACAGCCAGTTTAGAAATTTAAAACCCTCGGGCTACCTAATTTCAGCTTCAGATTAACAAAATAACTGAAACTGGAAAAGCCCATTTAGTTGAACAAAACATATTTTTATTTGATTTAGTTACTGTTTGGGGAGGTCTAGGACTCTGCAATGGTAGTACAGTTGACCCTTGAACAACACAGGTTTGAACTGTGCAGGTCCACTTATACGTGTATTTTTTTTCATGAAATACACAGTTGGCCTTCTGTATCCCAGGATTTTGCATCTGCAAATTAAACCAATAGCAGATGGAAAACATTATTTTCCATCGGCCATTGAGAATTTGCAGATGTGGAAGGACAACTGTTTGCATTGTCCCACACCATTTTATATAAAGGTTTGAGTATCCAAGGATTTTGGTATTTCTGAGGGGTCCTGGAACCAATTCCCCATGGAAATCAAGGGATACTTGTACATATAGTGTGAACATGGACTTTATCACTGTTATAAAATACAATACTAGAACAAGAAGGTTTCCATTAAAGCTTAGAACATATAATGTTAGAACTTGTTTTAAAGCCTCCTTATTCACAGGTAAACAATTTAGGGAACTTGTTACCCAAAGAGATGATGTAAACTGGAAAACACAAGTATGCTCAAAAAGTGCATAGATAATTTCATTGGTAAGAGAGGCAAAAGAGGAACCTTTTAATAGAATGCAAGGATGTTAAAGCTAACACAAGGGGGGGTCACCATTCTCTTGGAGCCCCTATAATAAAAAGTCATCCTGAGATAGAGGGGCAACGCATGGTTTCAGTCGAAGGAGCCACCTCCATTTTTTTTATATCAAAGTAAACTATGTTGATTATATTGATTTTAGGAATGTTCATTTTATAATGAGCCCCTTAAATAGGAACAGTAATCTCCCTAGTGATGGTCGTTACAAACTCTAAGATAGGAAGCCCCACTTTAGCATATGGAGCTCTGTCTCTCTCCATTATTCTTCATTCTAACACTACCCCAGGGATGAAAGCAAGATTGACAATGCCAGCGGTGACACAGGCTGTTGGTTTCAGTTCAGTTGTTTACTCTATGTTCCCATGTGCCAACCACTGTGCTAGGAGCTGTGGATAAAGAAATTGAATGAGGCGTAGGCCCTGCGTTATGAATGAGACATAGTCCCTAGGCTTGAGGAAGTGCTAGGGGACAGCAGTGGGAACACAAAGTAAATAGACTGTCACCAAGGGTGTTATGGAAACCCAGAAAGAGAGTACCTAACCCAGCAAAGGGATCCAAATATAGCCACCTCACCCAAGCCTACTCTATGGGCTCATAGCAGGGCCTCCAGGGATTTGAGGAGGCCTCTACTTTTTAATAACAGCTGCCATACATTGAGCACTTACTATGTACCAAGTACTGTGCTAAGTGCTTTACATATATCATCTCACTTTGTCCTTTATGGGAAATACCCTTGTCATTGCTATTTTTAAGGTGAGATGACTAAGTCGTAGAGAAATTAAGTGACTTGGGCAAAGAAATGGTAAGTGGAAGAGCAAGGATTTTAGCCCAGATCTGACTTCAGAGACTGGCTTGAGGGTTCTTTGGAAAAGCTGTAAATTTGAACACAACACAGATCTTTCCTCTAGTTAATTTTAGTATGTGTATACTTTTTACTGGTTTAAATTATGGGATTCCTAAACATGAGTCAGAAAGGGTCTCTTACTACATTATTAAATTGCTCAATACTGCAGGGGCTCCTGCAGGGTTGGGATCCATACTTCTCCAGGTTCTTTCCCTATGTTCAAGCTGTTTTTTTTATTTCCTGTTCAGAGACTACATGGTTGCATGGTGGGGATTTGAGGGGTATGTTAAGTGGTTTGTTTCCCTATAGAACTTAAATGGTGTTTTGTTCCAGTGTTTGAGTTGAGTTTTTTTTTTTTGTTGTTGTTCACTAAATTCCATTTCCTTATAGTTTCATAGGAGGAAATACCAGTCTTTACCCAAGAAAGCCAAGAGGATAGGGGAACATCTGCTTATGTTCTCAGATAAGTAGAAAGCATTCAGCAAAATGTACACCAGCTCTGACAATAAAACCACCAGAATTACCCCTGCCCCCCCAAAAAATACAGAGCTCCCTATGCTCTTCTCAGATTGTAAAAGGGCTCAAATTATAGCAGGAAAACTGACCTTTCTAGATTTTCTTGTAGATGAGTTCCCCATTCTGGTGATTTCCAAATAGGACTATTTATGTGACTTAAAGTTTGAAGACTTCTGCTTCCTTTTTATCCCAAGGATGATAGAAGGAAGAGAAGAAAGGGTTTTTGTTTGAACCCTTCAAAGTCATGCCCTTACTGGGTAGCTGTTCAATTAGGAAACTTGGGAACTTTTTTTTTTGGTCAGACATGAGCGAACACTTGGGTCTGGTCGGCTGGCCCTGAGGATGCTTTGAGTGCTGAGCTTGGAGAAATAAGACTCTTTCAAACATTGGGCTCCAAGGTGCCCTTGCTTCTAACGAACTGTTCATCCCCCAAGGCAAGAAGGAGATAAACTGAGGCTATCTTTGCCTTCCTGCTCAACTCCCCAACACTCACTTCTCTTGCCCCTCACATTCATTTCCCCATTACCTGTCCTTTAGCTCCAGCCAAGTAGTCCAAAGTCTTTCAGGTCAAAGGCATCAGTTTCCACCTCTGCTGGGAAAGTCGACCCAGTGTAGCTTCATGTAAACTCCTTAAGGATTCCAGCCATACTTCCCAGTCAGGCCTGCTGGGCCAGTCCCCCTACTTTAGCCTCATTACGGACTGATCCCTTTCCTGTCCATTTGGTGAATTGCCAAGTTTAGCTTAAAACAAAAGTCTAAGCCTATGAAAAATGCAAGCACCTTTGTTTACGTTCTTTATTCAATCACATGAGGGTATACACTAGATTTCGTCTTAGCTGTGAAAAATGATCCATTATAAATTGGACCCATTATTTAAAGGCTTGCTTTAGTCCTAGGGGAGGCGGTGTATAGTATAAGTTGCTGAGAGCCTTAGAAGATGTTGCTGCTGCCACCCAACTTCTTCCCTTTACTTCCCTTCTCACACCAATATTTTCCTTTATTCTCCCCCTTTCTTGATTTTCTGACCCCTGTTTTCCTTCCTTGTCCTTTTAGCCAATCTTCTCTCCATTTCCCCTGACTTTGCTTTCTGTGGCAGAAACCAAGGGGGAAATGCAAAGACCAGGAGATTCTGGATTTTTCTCCTGGGGACTCAGCATATCTTGCTGGTAATTTGTATCACCTGGTCAGTGTCAGAGCTAATTTCTGAGTCACTGCCTCCCAGCGCTCCTGAAGAGGGAAGCCCACTGTGACAGAAATGCAGATTGGTTCTGTAGAGTGTGGGTCAGCCATCCTGCAGAGAGGGGGCAGGCTAAGATGGAAGAGGAGAGCTGTGTGTGTCCTGAAAAGGTGATGCTTCTTTTCTAGTACCACCAGCCTGTAGGCAGCTCAGGAAGTTCGAGCTGACTAGACCTAGCAGTAGGCTCTTTAGATGTTTTTTATGCTTTGTGGTGTGCAAGGATTCAAAGCTCTGCTCTTATGAGGTGACTGTCCCATTAGTAAAGTCGACTCTTAGGCAGGAACCAAAATGCACCAGGCCAGCTCCCCAGCTGCAACAAAGCCAGATCTTTCCCAAGGTGCCTGCCTGTTGCTAGGAAACTATGCACTGGTACTGTGGGCCTTCTCCCCACCACCCCCCTTCCAACAACTCAAACCCCAAGGGTGCGTGGACTGCAGCCAATGAACTCTGTAGCTCTGCCAGGAGCCCTTCAATTTTATCCTTAAGACTCCCAGCATCCTCAAAGGAAATGAGAATCATCCCGCCCCTTCCCCCCTAATACTTCCCAAACATGAAACTGAGAAGTGAAAACCAAAGGCCGTTATACCATCCCCTTTTATTATCAAAGTGTACAACTGCCACCCACAGCAGTTGCTGCCCACAAAAGCCTTTAAATGCCTCTCAGGACAGAACTGCCTTTAGCTCCACTGCAGGAAACTTGCCCCTCCCTTCTGTGCCTGGGAACACATAAAATTGGCCTCCCCACTCTCACCATCCTGGAGCAGGATTTAAAAGGGCAGAGACCACACCCCCAGCATCCAGATCTGGTTCCTGGCGGGCTTTTGCTCTCCTCCCCGGTTAAGTGGTCAGTGTTCTTAATTGAAGAAAGCAGCAGAAGAGGAGGGAGGAAGAGAAGGAGAGAGTTCTGGATCATGGAGTAGAAAACTAGGAAATTACGATACTGATGTCTTATGAACACATAATTTCTTGGAGGGAAGAGAAAAATTGTGATTTTAGAAAGGAATCTGGCTTGCCTTGAGTCCACTGCCTGAAGTTGATTTGTCTTGAATGGCTCTGCAGGCTGTATGACCCTATCATTCCTTCATTCAAGATGAAACAATGGGTGGGGGAGGGCAGAGGGCAGAAAATTGCAGCTACAGTATCTTCTCAGTAAGGCCTAGAAACTGAAGCAATGGTCAAGACCAGGGATGAGGAGAATCAGTTAGCTGATCTCAGGCTCCAGAAACCTCATGTCAAGGCTGACTCTAGGTTGCCCCAGGCTTGGAAAAAGGACAAGATCTACTCAGACTCTGGTCAGCAGAACAAAGTAAAGGTGTGACCTCCCCAAACAGTACTTGAACTCTTGAGAAATTTTAGTGTTAGTCGGTCTTTTTTTTTTTTTAATATACCAGTTCCTCCTAGAGTTGAGACACAACCGAAAATTGCCACTCTCCAGCCCTGTTGGCTTCTGTTTGCTCTTCTGAAACTGGCCTCTTGCTTCTTGACACCCCTATAGCCCCCTCCAGCCTTCAGGCCTCAGCCATGCTCCACCACTGTAGCAAGGCAACAGTCCCTATGAGGTGTGACCATATATTCTTTGAAAACAGATAACATTTTTAAAAAATATGCCAAGTTCATCTTATATACTCCTGAAGTTACAGTCACTTGTTCAACATTAATTGAGTACCTACTACTTGCCAAGCTCTGTTCTGAGCTCTGGGGGATACAGCAATGAACAAAACAGGCCAACTCTCCTTGAGCAGGAAAATCATTAGGGTCCAGGGTATACGTGAGCCAGGCAAAGAGAAGTGGCAAATGACTCCTAACATGCCAATTCCCTGGGTATTTCTTAAATCCAAAACCATTCCCTTCTCAAAGAAGACCAAAGCTAGACAACACAAAGTAAAATGGAATCCTCAGCGTCTGGGCAACCTGAAAGATTGCTCCTCCCTTTTGTCCATGGCTTTGTTCTTCTTTGCTCTCCAATCTACCCTGCCCTTACTAAGACGTAATAAAAATTGTTGGACTTAGATTAAGGCTCCAGATCCAAGAAAGCCACTTAACCTCTCTGACCTTAGTTTTTGTTTTATTTATGAGATGGGCTCTGTAATATATTCTTATAGCAAAGAATTTCCCAGGTACTAATGACTTAACCTCAACTGTTCTTAAGGCCCAAACAATCTTTTTGAAGACTAGTTGGTATGCTATTTCCATAGCTCAGGGAGAGGTATTGAAGGTTTGGGTTATAATCATGGAAAAGGGGTTCAAAGGGAGGGGTAGGAGGAGTCTAAGGCATCTCTGCATGAGCTTTACAGCCTGAGTGACTGAGAGAAAGTGGGACTAGCCAAGTTTCATGCCCCTCATTAACTTTGTGAGGTCTTGGGAGCTCTTTATTGTTCCAAACAGAAACAAATTTGGTCTACACTCATTTTTAAATAACAACTGACTTTGGGGAATTGCAACCTCATTGCCCAAACTGATGTTGTTTTATTTTCATTACACAGCATTCTGGTGTCTTTCCATCCTCCCCTCCTTCTGGACTTTCTGATGAGCCCCAGTCTGCCTCTCCTTCACCCAGCTACATGTGGTCCTCCAGCGCACCACCCCGTTACTCTCCACCCTACTACCCACCTTTTGAAAAGCCACCACCTTACAGTCCCTAAAGAGGAATACCTACTGGCTATTGGAATTATTGTGGCTTTTGTATTTCTGCTTTAGTGGAAGTGTTTAGGGTACACAATTTAAAGTGTGATTCTTATGCATAGTTTCAAGTTTTACAATGGCCTGCCAGGCTAGGGAAAGATAGGAATGAAGCTTATTCATTATCAGTGCTGAGCAGGGGTGGCAAGGCTGAACTCAGGACTTGCAAGAGGAACAGTGCACATGCTCTAAGCAAGGCTGGGGATCCATCCCAACAAGAAGCTTATCATGTTTGGACCTGCATTACCCTATGGCTCTGCCTCTGTATTCAGCAGAAGTGTGGTTGCCATCTGTTTCATTTGGTGTAAATTGAGTGTTGTCCTCAGGCCCTTAGCAGATTGCTACCCTAGTACCTCGGTTGAAGTACCTGGCTTACAAGCCCTATCTTTCCCTACCACTAAAGTCAGTTCCTAAGGAAAATTTCCCAGGTGATGAGGCTGCATAATAGTTCCAATGCAGAGAGCCCTGACTAGGATTTTGTTTGCTTGTGTCTGGATGTTGAAAAAAGCTGTCCCCATCGCTTATTCCTTTCTTCTCTATGGGTATTGTAAAAATGGCTGCCGTGATCATTCGGCTCGGCTTTTGTTATTGGTACCTCCCAAAGGGAAAAGTGCAATATTCCCTCAAGTAGTGGGAAACAGGGTTGATTGTTCCAGAAGCATTGGAATATATAGAGCAACATGTGAGATGTTTTAAGTAGATCTGTTATACATCTGATAACTTAGAGTGGTTCTCATGTTGCAGTATTACAAAATACATTTGCTACAGACATAAATCTTATAGTTAAAATTCAGAGTTTAAAATGCTAGATTAGGTTCTTGGATTGTGACATGAATTGTTACTAATCTTTGTGACTATTTAATCTTCAAATACTGTGCTTCAACCCCAGCAAACCGCACGTATCTTGCACCCTACCCCAAAAGAATCATGTTTTAATGCCACTGCTCTTACTGGTCCCTTTTTCTGTTGAGACCAATCATGACAGTGTTCAAGATTATGAAAGTGTTACAATGCTGCTTTAAATCTGCAAAACCTCAAATGTAGCCAACTTGACAACTTCTTAAGTGTTATTGTAGATTTAAAAATCCATCTGGCACATTGTGGTACGTATTTGTACAGTTCTTTTAATTAGACATAGCTTTAAACCATCAACCTGATGTATTTAACATTTTGGCACTCAAAATGTTCACTTCAGAATGAACACTTTCATTGCAATCTTTTGTTACCCCAAGGATTGACTTAAAGATTGATAACCCTACACTCGTATCATGTAAAAATACAGGGGCTATAGGAGGGTACCTAATTAGACAGTTCTGCAAACAGAACACATACTGGAAAATTTTCCATCCCATTTTGCTACCTCCTGACTTGGATTAGAGGTAGCAGGCAAATGCTGGTGCTCCAATCTACCTTGTAGACACCCAGCCATCAAGAATTATCAAGGCACAACAAGTGCACTCACTGTTCACAGTAAATGTTTGCAAGACATTCAGTTTAACTTTCAGCATCATGAATGATGTCTCATCCAAATTTCAAATCTGAAAAATCCTTTGTGTTAGGTAAAATTACTATTATTTTCTATAGTTCTAAGCATATTAAAATTCTATTGGATTTCAAAAAGGGACTAAACCAATTGACTAACAATAAATATCAACTTGTAATACTCAATGAAATTTTTTGCTGTTTACACTTTACCTTTTGCTTTAGTGACTATTAATTTTTTAAAAGGCACCATTACAGAGTATATCCTACATTTATCACATTTCTTAAAGTGTTAAGATTCTGACTCATTTCTATGTATTTTTCTTACTTTACAAAATAACTTGAAACAGTACAGATTTTGTAACACTTAATTTGAGCAGCTTCTTTTTTTATTACATTGAATTATATGAAGTGCATGTTACCTTAGAAAAATATTTGCCGCTTTACTTTTGCAAAACATTTGCTGTAATGAAGGAATTTGTATTTCCAATATGTATCTTGACTGCATTTTGTAATATTTACTGCTTTATTCTTAATTCTGCTTTAATGAACTGGGCATGAAACATTAAAATATTAATCCAGAACCTATATAAACTGGATGTTGCTTAAAATCTTTATCACTGCCATGTTGGAAACCCAGACTGCTTTTGTGATGTTTCAAATTAATAAAACTATCCTCATCCTTTAACTACTTACATATTTCTTCATGGAATCTACAAGTGTTGCAGATGCTCTAAAGCTGCTATTTTCAACTGGTGTGCCAGAAGAGTTTTTAAAATACGCTCTTTTCCCTTAGGTCATCAAATTAAAAAAATGACAACAGCCAACACAACAGCCATCCGGTGTGAATGAATCAAAATTATACCTATTTTTTGGTCAGATCAGCAAAAAACAAAAACAAACAAACAAACAAAAAAAAAACCCAACAGGGTCTGGCACAAATAACGCCCTTTTTTATTACAAAATCTTTTATTACAAAATCATAAGCATGTAATTCTGTAACATAACAATATCACACTCAAGCACACCATATGACATTTTAGGTGATGTTCAAATGAAAACTATAAATGATTACCATATTATTACCCTACCAACCACATTCAAGCAGGCGTTACTTCTGCTGGACCCTGTATATTTTTTGGTGTGCCATAAAATTTTAGTAATTAGTTTATGTGTTCCCCGAGATGAAAAAAGTTGAAAACCACTGCTCTAAAGTGACTGACAGCAGCTGACTTACTTCTATTAGGATTCAAGATGCACTGGGCATGCAAATAACCAACATATAAACCTAATGGAAAATGTTGTCATGCTATCATCAGAAATATAGCTTCAGTCTTCTGCTATGAAAATTGAAAAACAGAATACAAAGGTCTATATAATTTCTGAAAGATAATCTTGTAAAAAGTGCACTCAAAAATCAGAATTAAAACATTTTATTTTTGCTGTATGAAGCTCTACGAACTAATATCAGGTAACAGTTAATGAAAAGTGGAACTTAAAGTCATGACAGGGAAGATTGTACAAGTATGAATATTACAGCATTAGGTGGAAATGAACTTGGTTTCATATGATTGACAGAGATGAGGAAGCCAGTGCTGTTGAATTAGCAATTAATTCTTAGAATATGCATGCCTTGACCATACAAAATATGTTGGGTCTTTTTTACCATTTGTTTTATGTTTTTGGTACAATAGGAAAAAATGCAGCATCAATTCCTCATAGTAGTTGCACGTGGGGAATCATTACCACCAAAATGATAATGATCATTTAAAATATATTTTAAAGTGAATCTTGCAGGATTGCTATGGCATTTAGAAATCTTTGCTTGGTTTGAGAAGTTTCACTTTGTCATCTCTTTTAACAAATTGCTATTTCAAACAGTTCCTATCCAGAATATTTACAGGTAATCTATCATATGAGCAAACCTGAAGCCAACCTGAAAGAAAAAGTGAAATTCAATAGCCAGAAAACTAAGTATAACATAGGAAAACCCCATGATAAGTTTTAAGCAGTGTCTTGCTGCAGAGTTTCAACCCAATAAATAAACTGGGAGTAAAGGGTATTAGCCCCAAAGGAATATTCCACATGAATTCCAAACTTTGAATATAGAAACTTCTAGAAAAACTGAAGACCCTGACATACATGCAATTAAGAGTCTCCTGGCAAAAATACAATTTAATTTTCCAGTTTTCCTTCTCCCCCCAAACTCCAGAAGATACCTTCAGTAGGCACAGTTTCAATTTCATACTCAGGATTTACATAAAGCACAGCAGCAGCAAAAAATTATACCCATATTACTCAGACTGGATAGTTTTCCATTATAGAATTCCTGGTTTGTCATACAAGCCTTGTAGAAACTACCAAGTTTTATGATGACAAATTAATTTACCTAGAAGTTAAGTCTGAAAGGTCTGGAAGCTCTGCTGGCATCAGTATCATTCACACTTGTGGAATTATGTCTAACTGGTGAAATAGCATTAATGAAACTCAAATTTCCATGGAAAATATTTCAGAATGCACCCTATAGCCAAAGAGTAATGCTATCAATATCTACACAGAAAGGAAACACATTGTGAGTCCAGAAGTCACTGAGTCTTAAGTTATAAGGTAATTTAAAATTTTCCAAGGATTAGTTTATAAAATTGTTTTTGAAGGTCTAGACTCACAGAACAGAAAACAGATGCACATCATTCTAGTCCTCGGCAAGAAAAGGATCATTTTTTTCTTCTCCTTGTATTTTTGAAAATACTGATGCATGATACCCTCAGATATCAACTTAAGAAACACTGAAACCATCATCTTCAAATCCAGCTTACCATCAGAAGAATGATGTATATATGAGAAATTACGATTAAAGCTTTAAGTTCAAGGTCAAGAAATAGACTATTTTTAAAAATACATGGTTAAGGAGAAAGAAAATACCTATGTTGAATTAAGCAATACTTAAGCAAAGTTACACATGACTAATAACTATGCACAACAATCTTTTTCAGTATCTATTAAATTTTTTCCTTTGCAAAGTCATTTACAGAAGGAGTTCAACAAGTTAATCCTGTTATAAATGCTAGGCTATATTTTCCAACCTGCTTCCTTTTAGTTCTAGCACTTCAATAAGTTTTTACTTTATTTTCTAAGTGTTTAAATATGTGTCATTTTAAAAGGAAGGAAGGTGGTACTGTTCTCAAAATAAATGGGAATCAACAAGCCTATATTACATTCCATATATAGTCTGATTGCTATAATATTGCAGCAATTTGTAGATGGAATGGAATTTATTTTAGAAGGTCCTGCTGAAAGGAAAATACTAGATCACTGATTCAACTATTTCAAATGAAAACTTCCTATTATAGTTTCTAAGTAATATGAACACTGAAAAATATATGCCAGTAGCCTCCCACCCAAAATATGCAGGAGTCTCATTTCTGCGATCTATCATGTATAAAGATTCATATTGAATTAAAGATTTATTTTGGTGGCTTACAGATTCAAAATTTGAAAATTTTCATGGGACTATTTTTAAGCATAATGAGCAAAAAGGCAATCTCCATTCACTTACACTCTCTGTCTCTATGTAAGAGCAAAAATTCAAAAACACTGAAACAGAACTTTTCATCTCCTCTTGTCTGCATTACAGAGATTAGTCTTTTTGCCCACAAAGACCACATAGCAAAGGTATATATACCCTAGCCTCAGCCACCATTCTTTTCCATACTATGACAATAAAAGCAAGATTTAATTCTAATTAGCTAAACCTAATTCTTGAGATGAGACTTGTCTGCATGGCCATTTTCATGGGGGGAGGCAGGAGGTTGCTATCCATTTGGCCTAGTGGAATACACAACCACACGGAGGCTTATTTTGAAATTTTCCAGAACAACTTTAGAAGTTCGTGTTTACATTTTATGCCATCTACGAGACATGACACATTTATAGTCTCAATATTAAGAAAACTGAGAATTCAGCAGTAAAGTGCTAACATAGAAGGGGAAACTTTTAAGATATACTAGGGTATGCTAATAACTCCAGTTATTTTCAAAGAACATTCAGACTGCTTCAAATTCTATTCAGGAAACTATCTCTCCAAGCCTTTTTTTTGCCTCTTAAATGAGCTGAAAGCTAACTATATAAACAGATACCTGGGTGGGGGGGGGACTTTTCAACCTCTACTTAAACTTTCAGAATAATTTGCTTCTAAAAATTATCAACAAATAACCCAACTAAACTACCTTCAGATGACATGACAGATCAAATTCCTTAATTTGCTTTATAGGTCTTCTGAAAGCCCTGCCCCTTAATTCAAACCAAAACTTTGATATTTCAAGAGTTCAATAAGATTCTGGTATTATAAATTCAAACTCAGTACTACCATCTGTTACATTCTGTTTAAAAATTGAATCATTTTCCTGCTGAATAAAAATATCTTCCCAGGTCATTGGTTTGTTCTGAGGAGTGGATGTGGTCCCTACTGGAGGTTCTTTCCCAGCATCAACCTTATACCCAATACCATCATCCTTCATTACAGGCACAGTGCCTGACCTATCAGAGAGGTATGCATATTGTCTGATCTGTAGAGACCTGCATGGATGTAAACGATAAAGCTTTGAGTCTCCAGAAGGATCTTGACTATGAACTGACTTTATATGTGAAGACATAAACTGATAGTTGATGAAAGATTTGCCACAGGCCAAACATTGATACCTTCGCTCCCCTGTGTGATGAATTTCATGCTTTGTGCGATATTCTGCAAGAGGAAATACCTTCTCACAGTAACGGCAAGGATACTTCTTTTCCCAAGAATGAATGTTAAAATGTCTCCGCAAGCTTGTCAGACAGACATATGACCTTTTGCATACAATACAGATATAATAGACCCTTCCATCTACTATTAACTCATAGTGATCATCATGTTTTACTTTCATACGTTTGTTTGCTGTCTCACTGCTAGATGTTTTTGGTATCTCATTCTCAAGTCTGGCCTCCCCTTCATCAGGGTCATCTTTGACAGGGATCACTATGTCATAAGTATCTTCACCGATATTTGCATAGACCTTGCAACCAGTCGACAAGCCTTCAATTTCAGTAGCTGTATCTAAAGTAATGATCTTCTGACCCTCCATTAGATGTTTTGATTCTATACCTGGATCATTAGTGTTTCTAGTAATTATATCTGAAATTTTTAAAGAATTGGAAAGTGGCTCTTGCAGAAGTGTAGGGATCTGCATCTTCTGTATCAGTGATCCATCAAAAGTGGTATTTTGGGGGATATCAGCCTGTGGGACCAAAGATGTATTACTGACGGCCGAATCTGGACTGGAGCTAATAGTGTCATCATCATCATCTATAATTTCCTCCTCCTCCTCTTCATTGGCCTTGTTTCCTGTTAAAACAGCACTGTTTGGTGTCTGCTGATTCTGCACAAGTAAATTGATTGAAGGAGGCATATGATTTGGAAGTGAAGAACTGACATTTGGTGGTGTAGTAAGTGGTGTCTGATTTAACAAAATAATGTTAGGAGTCAGATGTGTCGGGGCTGAAGATACCAGCAATTTTTCACTTCCTTGTGTTTGGCTCAGAGTTGCCTGATTCACAGGAGTAGGAAGTTTCTGAGTAGGTGTGATATTTGTTAAAGGGGGAGAGTTATTGCTAGCACAAGGTGTGACATCTGAAATAGCAACAGAGCCTGGGTTAGGCTGGACCTGTGCCACTGCACTGGTACTTGGTAAAGTCTCCTTTGCAGGCAGAATCTCAGAGCAGAAAATGACGTCATCATCATCATCATCTGAATCAGTAACAATGATCTTTTTTGTCTCATAATCTTCAGCAGATAAGGAAAAAGACTCTGTTATAATAGGCATTATAGTGGCCCCATTATCTTGGGCTTCGTCTTTTGATTTTTGTATTTCAAGGTTCTTGTCACTAGAACCAGGAGGTAAGGTTTCTGCATTACCATCCTGAGCTGTACCTGAGATGCTTTTAACCTGTGACAATGGGACACCAAGCTCTGCTATAAATTTAACTCCTAACAACTGCCCTGATTTAATTAACTCATCAAGTAAATCTGACCTAACACGAACAATTTTAGAACTATAGATATAATTGAGAATTTCTGCAAAGATCTCTGCTCTTATAAAGCTCAGTTCAACAACTTGCCCAGCAACTGAGAAGAGCTGATGGAAGTAAGTACTAGAAGCAGAAAGAATATTCCTGTGGGCCCGGAATTTTCGATCTTCCACAATAACGGTAACATCACAGAAGAGTCCATGGCCACGTTGCTCATTCAAGGAGTTTAGCAGACTGCCAGAGTACTGAATGTCTGTAGCAGAAATCAGTTTTCTACTCTCCATGCCTATAAGAGAAAGGAAAGAAGGGATGAAACAAGATTAGGAAAGAAAAACAAAAGTACTTTATCATTCAGGATTTTAGCTACAGCATTATTAAATAGCTTGTTCAAGTTTTTTTTTAAGATTTCATTTATTTATTTTAAGAAAGAAAAAAGGAAGGAGAAAAAGAGGAGAACACTGATGCCCCAGAGAAACATCAATCGGTTGCCTCTTGCACACCCCCAACTGGGGACCTTTCCTGAAACCCAGGCATGTGTCCTGACAGAATCAAACCTGGGACCTTTTGGTTTGCGGGATGACACCCAACCCACTGAGCTATGCCAGTCAAGTCAGTTTGTTCAAGTTTTAACCAAAGTTTGGCATAACTTTTTGGCTTTTATATAAATTGTTCATATGGATTGGGTTTTAGACCATGCATCAAATTTCATGACTTCCCCCTGAGAAGAAACAAGCAAGTTTTAAATTGATATACAGATGTGAACAGTAATATCTTCCTTTGAATCTGAAATACATGCACCACCACTAAGCAATTTTTAAAGATTAGAATTTATTTCCTCAGTTGCAATTTTCAATCTTTTTTTTCAAGAAGAGCTGAGTTAATTTTTAGCTGTCTTAAAACTTTTTTAAGAAAAATCTTCATCATGAACACGTAAGTTATTTCACCTGTAAATGAATGATTTAAATCTTGGTGTCTGAAATATATACTCTTCCTAAATTTGAATTTATCTTCAAGAACATATTCCAAAAAGCTACTCCCTGCAGCCAATAACTGAATCAGCATTTATAAACATTGAAAACTATTACCTCTGAGCTTCTCATTATGCTTCTGTTCTTATTTAAATTGCAGTGCCTCATCACCATTAAATACCTTTATTACCTTCTCTTTTCTCCCTCCCCTTTCTCTTTCCCTTCACCTCTCTGCCTTTACAATCTCCAGAGGTAGAATGTTAAAGAGTGCCAAATGAAGTCAACAGATGCTACTTAAAAAAAAAAGACAAAGGAAAAGGAAAGTTTACCATTTCTTAATGCTTATTTGCACAAATATATTTTGTTGGTAAAGAATTATGTGCATTGGTATAAGAACCTCTTTCACATCAAATGGGTTAGTAAAAATGAAAACAAACTTATTGGAGCAGAGTAGACATTATTCTAGAAATATGGGGGGTGTCAGTAAATAGCATTACTATGTACCACCCCCAAAACATGTTTTGCACTTCTCAATATGTAGTCCCAGTAATAATGATATTCAGTTGTGTGTGTATGCTGGTACTTTCGGTAATGAAACACTTATTGCTAATATTCTTTTCCTTTAGAATTACCAAAATAGCACCACTGGTAACAGAGCTTTAACTTATATACACGTGGAAGGCAGGGAGGGCATCTCAAATATCTTCTCGATATTTCAAAATTATAGCTTAAAAACAAAAAGTAGGTGAAAAGTCTGGAGAGCAAGGATTAAATCATCATCAGTAATAAGGCACTGCCCATTAACAGCACCAAGGAATTCCAGGTTACTATAAAGGTATTCATCAGAAAGGGTGACCTTTGGACAGCGAGCAGTAACCGGGTCTTCAGAAATATGGGGATTTCGAAAGAAGTCACTTTTCAGTGGATAGATGGGTTTTCTGAACATGATCCCACAATTCTTGTCATTTGCAAATGGGTTTTTCCAATGGAGACATGAGTTAAATGGATGTGTCCCGGTGACACTGGGACTTGGTTTCATTTTGTTTAGGTTTCCTCCTCCCCCCAGTTAGGGTGGGCCCAGGTACAGCACAAATCGGTCTGAACTCACCCTAAGATTTGCGACCTGACTGGAAAAGCCATTCCGCAACATTGGCAGAGAAATCCTTGACTAGGGGCAGGCGATGGTGGAAAAGCGAAAACGCCATCCGCGAGGGGGTGAAACAAACCAACACGCGGCTCCCTGCGGCAGCTGAACCCCATCTTCCTTCCTCCACCCCCTCTTCCACATTTACACCCAGTCGGCTGCAACCTAGGATTTTAACCCAAATTCACGCAAAAAGGCAGCTTCTTGCAAACACAAACGGTAGGAGCAGCACAGTGAGGGCGGGAGTAATAAGGCGAGCTAGGGAAAGTAGAAGGTGGCGAAGAGGAGGGTGGAGGTGCTGGGAGGGGATGAGGCCGAGCAGGCGGCATTGTTATGCCCTGGGAAGGGGACGGAAGGGGAGGATGGGCCCGACAGAAAAGCTCTAAATCAAAGTAGGGGCAAGAAGAAGAAAAAGAAGCACAAAAAGGCAGGCAGAGGGGCAAGGAAAAAGCCAAGTGGTTCTCTGTGGAGGGCTCCCCACGCTCCGGGCCTACCCAGGGCACCGGCAGCCCCCGGGCTCCTGACGGCGAGGGGGACCGCGCCGCGGCCTTCCCGGTTCGCCCCCTCCTTCATTCCCGGGCCCACACAAAGAAAGGGCCGGAGGAGCGAAGCCTCCGACTTGGCCGCTTCCTGGTTCAAATGAGGAGAATGCAGACGCAGGCGCGGCCCTGGGATGGAGGAAGCAGCGCTCCCCTCGCCCCTCCCGGGTCGGGGCAGCGTTCTCACCTGCTTCCCCGTGCTGCCACTTCTCCCCGTCAGGCCGCGACGATGAGTGGGAGTCCTCCAACAACAAGAGGCCGGACTCCGCGGCTATTCGGCTTCTTCTTTAAACGTCGCTCCAGTCTTGGGCGACGTCGACGCGGCTGCCGCCTCCTGCTGCCACCGCTGCAACCGCTGCCCCACGCCGCCGACAGAGGGCACAGCGCGGGGGCGAAGCGCTGAAGTCGAAGGCTCCCTTCACTTCCGAGCACATTTCGGGTCTTTCCGGAAGGGCCCCAGCTCCAGGCGCGCTCGCTTCGGCGCCCCACTCGGCCTTCGGCTCCTTCCGTAAGGGGGCAGAGGAAGACTGGGAAGCTCTTGGCTGTTCGGCCCTTTCCGGAGGGCGAAAGGGTGGGAAAAAGGAAAGGGAAAGATAGAGATAACGCAGTCACTGCGTTGGCCATGCAAGGGACACTGGACACTTTCATATAATTTCACTGTAAAGCATCTAGGGCTCAAAAACTGAGACTTTGGGTTTCATTTCTTCTGCAAGTTTGAAACTGCTCTATTAGTCTCTTAGATGATGAAACACCTTGAAATATAATCTAAAGAAATAAAATAGATTTTATCAAAGTAGGTACTACAAATTCTATGATAAGATAACAAATACATTATAGTAACTATTTTTAAGAAATAAATCTAGTGTCTGGACAAGTACTATCTTCTTAATTGACAACTAAAGGATGCAGCACTATGTTAATTCCTTAATTTCAACTGTCATTTACTGACCGCCTTGTTCGATCTATACCAAATCTGATGCTAGGTTCTGTGGAATGCAAAAATGTATAAGCTAAGATCACTACCTTTTCAAATAGCTCAGTAGATAGACACACAAACATGGACAAAAGTGTTTGAACAAAGTATAGAACACAGAGAAGGGAATAGCAAACTGAATGTTAACATTTAAGCTGTATTTTGAATGATGAATAATGTTAACACTGTCATTGTTGATGTATTAGTATTATTTTTAAAGATTTTATTTATTTATTTTTAGAGAGAGGGGAAGGGAGGGAGAAAGAGAGAGGGAAATATCGATTGGTTGCCTTTCACATACACCCTATCTGGGAACCGGGCACATAACCCATGTGCCTTGACTGGGAATTGAACCAGCAACCTTTGGATTTGCCAGACAACACTCAATCAACTGAACCCCTCTGGTCAAGGCATTAATTTATTACTTATATTTATTTATTTATTATTTATTTTTTAAATTTTATTTTATTGATTATTCTATTACAGTTGTCCTGATATTCTCCCTTTGCCCCCCTCCACCCAGCACCCCCTACTCCCTCGGGCAATCCCCACATCATTGTTCATGTCCACGGGTCACATGTATAAGCTCTTCGGCTATTTCATTTCCTATACTGTACTTTATATCCCTATTCTGTAACTAACTACCTATTTGTACTTCTTAATCCCCTCACCTCTTCACCCATTCCCCCACACCCCCATCCCATCTGGCAACCATCAAAACACTCTCTGTATCCATGATTCTGTCTCTGTTCTTATTTGCTTAGTTTGTTTTTTAGATTCAATAGTTGGTAGATATGCATTTTTTGCCACTTTATTGTTCATAGTTTTGATCGTCTTCTTTTTCTTAAATAAGTCCCTTTAACATTTCATATAATAATAGTTGGGTGATGATGAGCTCCTTTAGTTTTTTCTTGTCTGGGAAGCTCTTTATCTGCCCTTTGATTCTAAATGACAGCTTTGCTGGGTAGAGCAATCTTGGATGTAGGTCCCTGCTTTTCATGACTTTGAATATTTCTTGCCAATCCCTTCTGGCCTGCAGAGTTTCTTTTAAGAAATCAGCTAACTCTTTTGGGAACGCCCCTGTAAGTAACTAACTTCTTTTCTCTTGCTGCTTTTAAGATTCTCTCTTTAACTTTAACCTCTGTCCTTTTAATTATGATGTGTCTTGGAGTGGACTCTTTGCATCCATCTTGTTTGGGACTCTCTGTGCTTCCTGCACTTGCATGTGTAATTCCTTCAACAAATTAGGTAAGTTTTCTTTCATTATTTTTTACAAATAGGTTCCCAATTTCTTGCTCTTTTTCTTCTCCTTCTGACATCCCTATGATGTGAATGTTAGACCTCTTGAAGTTGTCACAGAAGCTGCTTATACTATCCTTATGTTTTTGGATTCTTTTTTCTTCCTGTTTTCCTGATTGGTTGTTTTTTGCTTCCTTATGTTCCAAATTATTGATTTAATTCCCGGCTTAATCCACTCTACTACTGTTTCCCTGTAAATTGTTATTTCAATTAGTGTATACTTCATTTCTGACTGGATCTTTTTTATGCTGTTGAGGTCCTCACTAAGTTCCTCGAGCATCCTTATAACCAGTGTTTTGAACACTGTTATGATAGATTTCTTATCTCCCTTTTGTTTAGTTCTTTCTCTGGAGTTTTGATCTGTTCTTTCATTTGCCTTGTTTCTTTGTCTCCTCGTTTTGGCAGCCTCTCTGTGTTTGTTTTTATGTCTAGGTAGAGCTACTATGACTACATGTCTTGCTAGTGTGACCAAATGTAGGAGGTGTCCTGTAGGGTCCAGTGACACAGACTCCCCTATCACCCAAGTTGGGTATTCAAGGTTTGCCCTTTGTGTGGGTTGAGTACACCCTCCTCTTGTAGTTTAGCCTTGGTTGTTGTTGGCAGGTCAATGAGAGGGATTTACCCAGGCCAATCAGCTGCAAGGATTGGTTGTAACCTCTGACCACCAACCTCTGCCCTCAGTGGAGTATCAGCTGCACAGGGGCAGGGTGGTGGTGCTCCGATATGGTCTATAGCCGTACACTTGGTGCGCTGGCCCTGTGGTTTCCCAGGTGGTACAGGCCAAGGTCAGTTGTCAGTCCCCACTTGTGTTCTGCCTGGGGCCACCCTGCATGAGTTTTAAAGCAATCTGAGATGGCTGCTACTTGTGCTGGGCTTGGAGATTCCCAGGAGAAGCCAAGCTGTGAATCTAGGCTGGCTGCTGCTAGTGCTTGGCCTGGGGCTCACTGAGGCCAGCTGTTGCTTGTTTGAGAGAATTTAGGAAGTTGTGAAGCATGAGCCAAGACCAGCCATTCATACAGAATGGCAGCTTGGGTAAGCCCATAAGTTTGGTGGAGCAGAGTCTCTGGGGATTTTCAAGGTGAGTCTAACAGTGGTAGCCAGGTTGATGGAGTCTCAGATATGTCACCAGCTTGCTGGCTCTGTAGGAAGAGGGTTTAGAAAAGGAACAATGACCTCTGCTCACCTTGATGCCAGACACTTCAGTTCCTCCCTTTATGCCACTGGTGCCTTTCAAGCTACTATCCCGGTGCTGGAGCTCAGAGGAAGTATCAGTAGGTGAGTCCGTGTGTGGGTTCTAAGAGGAACTGCTTGGGGCTTCAGGAATTTCTTCCACCAACTTAATCCCTTCTTGTTTTTGCAGCAGGAAGTTATGGGGAGTTATCTTCCTGGCACTGAAACCCTGGGCTGGCGGGGGGGGGGGCTGATATGGAACTGGGACTTTTCACTACTGAGATATCCTTCCTGAATTTTTATCCACCACACGTGGGTGAGGGACCAGCCTATTCCGCGTTTGTGCCCCTCGTATCAGTCTGGATGGATGTGGTTTCATTAATTCCATAGTTGTCAGACTTCCATTCAACTCAGTTTATGACGGTTCTGAGTGAAGGTTGTTCTGTATTTTAGTTGTAATTTTGATGTGGTTGTGCAAAGAGGTGACCCCTGTTTACCTATACCACCATCTCGACAAGAAGTCTTGATTTATTTTTATTTACATAGCATTTCCTCCTCAGAGGGCTTTAGTGTCAGACACATAGTAGGTGTTCAATATTGTTTAATGAATGAATAAATGAATTATGGTAATTTTTTAAAAATCCTCAGGTTAATACACTTCCAACTGAGTACCAAGATGACCAGCTGAGTACCAAGATGAATGACTCAAGGGGATCGGTGTTTGGAGAGCAAAATATTTCCCTTTAGGTTGGTTAATGATCATATTCAACCTAAGGAACCAAAATAGTAGCTTTTTTCTTTGACAATAAAAGGACTCATTGGTACCATGTTCTTTCTAAAAAATATGTATAGGATAATATTGCATCAGTTTCCAAACCTTGAATTTGCACCTATTTAACTTTCAGTCAGAATCCCTGTGCTCCTTTCCTACAAAAACCTTACTGAAAATGTCCATCAGGATATAAACAGATCTAAGTATATCTAATTTTCTTCAACATAAAATCAGACAAGGATATCATCATCTATCCATCCCCAGTCTATTCTACATTCTCCTCACTAAAGTAAAGCCATGTAGCACAACATTAAATTAGTGTAATACAGTTGTATTTTCACATGGAAATGAGAAATTCACATGATATTCTTAATTTTCTTCTCTAATATTTTATATTTTTGGAAAAAATGATGTGGGAATTATTGCATCATTGGTTTTTTATTAGGACTTAAAATTATGAAAGTTTAATATAAACACATTTCATGGGAAATAGGAGTGTGCTGTAATAAAGAAAACTAAAGTAGATGGTAGTATTTTCCTGACAACTGAGTACCTAACAAAACTACTTAGCAGATTAATGACCGTTCTTGAATCATCCTCCCCCCAAATTTAATAGCAAAAAAAGAAAATAGGAAATGACAAAGTGCATCTGTTTAAAAGAACTTTAAACTTTTATTTTTTCAATTACAGTTTACATTCAATATTATTTTATAATAGTTTCAGGTGTACAGCACACTGGTTAGACAACTATATACTTTACAAAGTGCTTCCCCTGATATTTCTAGTACACACCCTGCACCATACATAGTTATTACAGTATTATTTACTATATTCCCTATGCTGTACTTTACATCCCTGTGACTATTTTGTAACTACCAATTTGTACTTCTCAATCCCTTCACCTCTTTCACCCAGTTCTCCAACCCCTCTCTGCTCTGGCAACCACCAGTTTTCTCTCTGTGTCTCTGAGTCTTTCAATTTTGTTTGTTTATTTTGTTCTTTAAATACTACATATAAGTGAAATCACATGGTGTTAGGATAAAGTACATCTTGAAAGTTTAGGATCTATTTATCTTTCAGCAGCTAAGTTAACTAACACTAAAATGCAACCTAACTTTGAAATACAGACCATAGTGGCAGTAGCTGCCACGCTTGACATCAT